AACAAGAGCTAAAGCTGAACCCAAGCAGAACCGACAACAAAATGAAGGTAACACCCGCATCTCCAAAGCGAAAACATTTCATCTTCAATTTTTGACTCCCATCTGTGCCTCAGGTGTTCGTGTGCCTGTTCCTGTGCGTGAGCCTGACCCAAGCCGGCTTCATCGGCGGTGGCTATGGTGGTGGATATGGTGGTGGCTACGGTGGTGGCTATGGCGGTGGCTTCGGCGGTGGATATGGCGGTGGTGCACCCACCATTGTGAAGGTCATCCATGAGGAAGAACATGGACATGGACATGGACATGTTCATGGCGGCGAGGTCAAGATTGTTAAGGTGATCCACGAGGAGGCTCATGGACATGCTCATGGCGGTGGCTTCGTGCATGGTGCCGGCGAGGAAGTCAAGGTCATTAAGGTCATTCAGGAAGGCGGCTTTGCGCATGGCGGCTTCAGTCACGGTCACGGTCACGGTCACAGTCACGGCGGTGATGTGAACATCGTTAAAGTGATCCACGAAGGTGGCGGCGCCATCGAGCACGGCCACGCCGGACACTTTGTCGCCGATCATGGCCCCAGGTCCAGGATGTGAAGGTGGTGACGGTGCTGGGCGAGGGCGGCTATGGTGGCGGCGCTATTGGTGGAGCTGGCTGGTCTGCCGGCGGTGGCAATGGCTGGGATTGAGCTCAACTAGGCCATAAGCTAAAGCAACATCTAGCCATAGTCATAGTCCCATGCACACACACTCACACACACATACCCGCACACACACATACGCAACCATGTGATTGGCCAGGCACTCGACTCGCTTGTTTCTGTTGTCCGAGTTGAGCAACGGCATTAGCCTTGTAGATGTTGTTACTATATCTTTAAGATGGCACACATACCAAGTGCCCGTTGTTTTATTTCTTTTTTTTTTTACCAATACATAATCTTTTTTTTCGTGTTAAATAGTTTATAAACTATACAAACCATCTTCAACTGTGTTGAAAAATATAAAAACAAAAAGAAAACATTTAAAAATCATTATTCTTCGTGTGGCTAGCAGCGGGAGTCCCCGAGCCACGCACCAAATATCACAGGGTCGCGTACCCGATTCGACGTCGGCAATTATGCACGGTAAGGCTCTGATCTACCATTAACATGAGCAGCAATTGGCCAGACGCTTAATTCGATCATTAGCTGCACATGCTACACAGATCCGAACTGATCAAGATGTGCCCCCAGACACGACTTAATAGAAAATTGCAGAAAATTGAAAGACGAACAACAAAAAGCATTTTAACACCTTGAATCAAACATTTTCCATCCATATATACCTCATCTGTATATGTATATGTATTTCAAATAATGCACATGCATAACTAATGGGTAAACAAGCTGGTTTCTGGGTCGGAAGCTCTGACTTAAATAAGACCCATTAATATTTTTGGCATGAGGTGAAAGGCGTCTTCGCACAATCCACAAATGGACCGCCTTAATTTATGTATAGTCATAGCTATCATAGACACTGAGAGAATGAACGAGAGAAAGAGAGAAGGGAGAGTCAGAGAGTGAGAGAGAGTGGGTACCTTTGTGGACATTAAGTAACTTTAATAAGCTCTGCTTTTCTTTTCGCGCAGCTATAAGATTTTATATGAACCACTCTACATTTCATGCCACTGCTGATTGCAGCTATATCAATTTATTTTAGCAAAAAAATAAAAAGGCAAAGTGGGCGACTTGGAGTTACCCTATAAGTACGGCAGCAAAATATTTGTGATATGAAAATGTGTATGCTATGAGGGCATAGAATATAGGTAGAAGCAGATAAGAATGAGAAGGTAAAGAAAGAGGGACAGTGGGAGAGAGAGATAGAGATACAGAGAGAGAGAGAGAGAGAGAATGAGTAAAAACATCAGAAAAAGCGATAGCATCCAAAATTTTGTTCTAATTGTGCATAGAACAATCCCAAGACTTAGAACAAAAGGAAACTAAGTGATACTTCTAGCTGAAAGAAACTCAACCCATTGACAATTCTCATTAAATATGTAGCTACATATGTATATGAAAATAGTTTTCATATATTATAGTTGAACTATAATATTATTATAACATCTATATATATGATTAAGAATCAAATATAATATTCAAGGCTTACATATATTTTAAGACACATTGAATATATATGAGAATCACGTAGAAAGGCTACAGTGATGAACGAAGACAATAAGTAATATTCCCAGCTGGCATATATACTCGCATAATTGAAAGCTATATAACAATATACTCTATATTCAAGTTTATACATGTTTGCGAATCGCATAGAAAGGCAATTCACCTCACACCTATTGTTAATCACAGCTGAGCTTCGCTCAACCGACAGCAAATGTGGATGTGACAAATGCTTTCATAATTTGCATTTATCCACTTTTAGCAGCTCATTTGAGTGGGTATCGAAAATACATTCATTAATCAAAAACATATTTGTCACAATGATTTTATTTTGTCACTCTGATGATGATATGCCAGAAAGTCAACTCGACTGACGCCATAAGAGGATTATTACTTCACGTCACATTTGGATAACATTTAGTTATAACTATGTCAAGTTGGATCAGTTTCAAACTAAATTGTTAGGGGATGCCCCAGGCTGACAGCGAGTGAGTCTACCTGGGTTTGGCAATTCAGCGGGAGCTGTGAAATAGTTAGGGACTATTCAAATTATATTGCATGTATAGAAGTTCAGCACTGGCATAACAAAGTTTATGTCTTAGTTTCCAGTGCTTCTTAGGAAGCTATTAAAAATCTGTTAAGTCTTAACTAATGCTAATGGTCATGATAATAATTATTAAAATAAAAAAACTCTGATAGTAATATAATATATTAACGTATCGAATCTCGGAATTGCATAATCTAACGCTAATTATAGCAAATGAAGAAATTATAATGAAGCTTTATTCGTGTACTTATGTCGGAGATCAGGCAATACGATGTAAATTGGAAACCTGTTTAGCGGCTTAGACTGTCCGCGCCGGCAGACGAACCCTCGTCAAAAGGCGAAGACGGCAGCAGCCCTGAATTGAAGCTAAGCTAATAATACTAACTCGTAAATTTAACAAATTTCCAACGGCAAAAAGTTTTGAAAACATAAAAATTGTAGAGATTTATGAGCTTTAATTCATTTCATTTACAGCTCAACATAATTGCTGGCTCCACCACGGACCCAAAGAGCCAGTTGGACGAGCTGCCAGCCAGCCAGCGCTGAATGTCGTGACTGCGTGGGATCTGTGAGCTTCCGCGAGCCCCGCAAACAATGCTGATGCAATTAACTTGGAGCACAACACAGTTGAATTATATTTGCCATCTATCAAGTGTCGATCCGAAGGCTTAATAAATTAATAAGCTCCATCGGCGCACTTATTATACTCAACGGAAACGAGACAACAGAGATGAGCCCCAAAGCTGTTCATATTAAATGTATATCAGTAATTTCAATCTAAGACAAGATTTTGGGGTATGAAGTTTTACCATATCATGCTAAGATTTAATAAAAAAAGACCGTAAACATATCCATAACTTGTATATAGATATCATACATAACTTGTATAACATGATATTTAGTCAGGAACTGGTTAGCCATGACATGAACTGCATCACATGGAACTTCCTCTCGATATGTGCTGACTGAGACATCTTATCTTATCTTAGCTTATGTTCTATTATGTATATTATGGCACCCTGCTAAATCAGATAAAGACATAACACTAGATATTCTATAAATATAACCTCTTTCGATGAGCTCAGTACCGACATTGTTGTCGTTTCTCATTTTCTCAAATACTATTTATCTCTTTTCAGGTATATCAATTTTGTGACCGTCAAGGTAATACTCATTTTTAATCGCATTCAGTATCTTCTAGACCTTTAGCAGAGTATGCTACATACTTACCTCCCTAGCTTTAATAAGTCTCTTGTGATAATACGTGTTCCTTAGCTTCTGATTTATTTTAATATTTTCACTAATCTACTACGCCAAAGTCTCATGTATATACACATATTTATATACCATACAACATCAAACATATATTTGATACATAATGAAAACAGCAATGCAAAAAATAGCCCACGCATAAGTTAAATGTCTAGAAATGTCTAGAATAAAAGTTATTAAGCAATTAAATTGTAATAGCATTTTTTACTATGGGAAAGATGAACCATAAGAGCAGCCCATAAACTGGGCAGTAAGCAATGATCGGTATTACTTATAAGTGTGTGCACGTCTGTGCGTATGTAAGTGTGTCTGTCTGCATGTCTGCATGTCTGTGTGTATACATGTGTGATTTGTTATGTGTGCATACAAGAGCGAATTGATTATTCTTGGTTGGGCTTAGGGTATCCGCTAGTCGTACACTTCCCACTAGAGCACGCTTGCCTGTTTATCATTGGGCTAAGTTTTTAATAACCAAAGCGGAAAATGGCAAATGTTGCTCCAGCAGCGTTATTAAAGTATTACAATGACCATATAGCTAGGGCATCTAATGAAGGCGGCATTTGATTCAGAGTTGGGTTTGATTTTCGCTGTTTGGTGTTTGAGGCTTGGGGCTTGGCGCTTGGCGCTTGGAGTGTTAAAAAGCGCTACTTATTCGCATTAGTTTTTGTTTTGTTTGGCTAATGCTCTTTGTGCAAGCGCTTTGATGAATTGCATAACGAGCCAATAAAGAGAGCCCAGAGCTGTGAGAGCTGTGAGCTCAACGCGCCAGCGAAGGCGTCGCGAGAGATGGCTTTGTGGTCTTTGATGGCTGAATGATGGCTGTATGATGGCATAATCCGAGCAGAGCATCGCGTGGACAACCAATTAGAGTGTCATGCATTAGCATAGACTTGGCTAACGGGCTGTCCGGCAAGCTAACCAGCTTGGGGCAGGGTCGAGCTGGTTTTGTGGCTTTGGGCCCTGTTGGGCTCTTGGCCAGCTCTGGTGGGGCCATAAAAGCCAGCGCTAGTGCACTGCAACGGCACAGTTGAAGTTCAGCTCTCGTCGAAGTCGCATTTGCAATCCCAACTCCTAGCTCCAAGCAAGACACAGGGCCAACATGAAGGTGCGTCCTGCCTCCGGATCGGCTCAGCTCGAAATATCGCCGTCGTCGGGATTACGGAAATTTCGAGCTAAACTTTAATTTTTTTTTTTGTATTGTTTTTTCTTTTTTGTTTTGTGCCGTGCCGTGACAATGTCGTAATTGGAATTGATTTATTGTGCCTGTTTCTCTTCCAAGGTATTCGTTTGTCTGCTCGCTGTGTGCAGCATGGCCCATGCGGGCTTCCTTGGCGGCGGCAGCGCCCTCAGCTCCGGTGGCGGCTATAGCGGTGGTCATGGCGGTGGCTACGGCGGCGGCTATGGCGGCGGCCATGGAGGCGGCTATGGCGGTGGCTACGGCGGCGGCCATGGAGGCGGCGGCGGTGGTGGTGCCGTGAAAATCATCAAGGTCATCTCTGATGGTGGTGCTGGCGGCGGCTATGGCGGCGGCTATGGCGGCGGCTACGGCGGTGGCTATGGAGGCGGTCATGGCGGCGGCTATGGAGGCGGTCATGGCGGTGGCTTTGGAGGCGGCTATGGTGGCGGTGCCAGCACTGTCAAAATTGTTAAGGTCATCTCCGACGGCGGTGCAGGCGGCGGCTACGGCGGCGGCTATGGCGGCGGCTATGGAGGCGGCTATGGAGGCGGACATGGCGGCGGCTATGGAGGCGGCTATGGAGGCGGCCATGGTGGCAGCTCCGGCACTGTGCAAATCGTCAAGGTCATCTCCGATGCAGGCGGCATCAGCGGCGGCGGCGGTGGCGGTGGCGGTGGCTGGGCACCTCAGGGTGGCTGGGCCTCCAGCGGCTGGTAAACAGCGATCCACAATCCGCGTACATGCGATACCTTTGTGTCTGGGTCTCTGTGACATGTGTGCTGTGTTCGTTTGGGAGCTCGTGCAGCGGCCCTTTCACCTCTTTGTTTTTTGCATTAATTTTTTGTTGACCACTCGAATTGTAAATACTCATTACATTAAAACAAATAATACAAGCGTGAAGAGCGAAGCCAAAATGTTTGCTTAATTCGCAGCGTTAATTATGCGAGGCCAGGTCAGATCCAGGCGCGAGCTGAAAGTCATTTCCGCTAGCGACAATCTCTGTGGAATCAGCGGTCGCACTTGTTTACACTGCACAACATGACTCGTACATTGATGGAGGTCTTAGAGACTATATTGGGGAGTAACACTTGGTAACATACAATTTTGTTCTAATTGTGCATAGAACAATCCCATTAAGATATGACTTAAACATAGATGAACAAAAGAAAACTAAGTAATACTTCTAGCTGGACGAAACTCAACCCATTGATAATTCTCATTAAATATATGAAACTATATAGTTTCGTATATTATAGTATAATATTATTATAACATCTATATATATGATTAAGAATCAAATAATATATAATATATACAATATGTGCTTCCTAGGAAGCTATTAAAAGTAAGTCCTAACCTGCATACAGCATACAGCATACAGCATACAGCATACAGCATACAGCATACAGCAGACAGCATACAGCATACAGCATACAGCATACAGCATACAGCATACAGCATACAGCATACAGCATACAGCATACAGCATACAGCATACAGCATACAGCATACAGCATACAGCATACAGCATACAGCATACAGCATACAGCATACAGCATACAGCATACAGCATACAGCATACAGCATACAGCATACAGCATACAGCATACAGCATACAGCATACAGCATACAGCATACAGCATACAGCATAATACAGCATACAGCATACAGCATACATCATACAGCATACAGCATACAGCATACAGCATACAGCATACAGCATACAGCATACAGCATACAGCATACAGCATACAGCATACAGCATACAGCATACAGCATACAGCATACAGCATACAGCATACAGCATACAGCATACAGCATACAGCATACAGCATACAGCATACAGCATACAGCATACAGCATACAGCATACAGCATACAGCATACAGCATACAGCATACAGCATACAGCATACAGCATACAGCATACAGCATACAGCATACAGCATACAGCATACAGCATACAGCATACAGCATACAGCATACAGCATACAGCATACAGCATACAGCATACAGCATACAGCTGAACTGCAGTGAAATCGTCGCTCTGAATGATATATTTAAAATTCTTATGAGCTGAGAACAATGCTCTGAGAAATAAACATGTCTATTCCTATTGCAATTGGCCACAGGGCACAAGCTGTTCTCATATTCCATTGTAGACTCAATGCTCATGCTTGAACACTTTCTCGTGTACACGCTAACGAATGCCCACTGTGAGTGCACAACTTTGGGCACAAAAGGAAATAGATAGCAAGTGCCTAACATCTCGTACAAATTACAAAAACATTTTTGGTCTGCTCTTGCATAAGAATTGTTAAAATGAAAACGAAATTGTTGCATAGCTCAAGGTAAACGAGAATCCATCGGCAGCAGCTGCAAATGAAAGGGAAAACGAACTGGAGCTGACTGACCTATCTGGCTAATGAAAATGAAATCTGTGGAAAATTTCACACACAGCCATCGCTTCAATAAGATGAACAAATATGGGCCGTTGCCAATGGCAGACAACGTGTGCAGCTGCAGCATTTCAATTAACGTCTCTCTGCGAGCCAACCTCCACCCCTTCCCATACGGCTATGCCTATGCCTATGCCCACCCGCTGTTGTACCTGTCCAGCCTGTCGCCTCTGTCGACGTTCCATCAGAGCTTTGTTCAGCTCTGTGTCAATGGCGAAGCGCAAAAGCTTCGGCACACAAAGCTGTAGCCGAGGCCTGATTGGCCCAGTGCGTCGAGCCAAGTTCAGGACAGGCGGGCATCGAGTCGGAAGTTTGGCTCCGTCTGGTCCTTCACGTCGATACGTGGGTGCTGTCGGCACATGTCAAAGTCAGACAGTCAAAAAGTAAAAGTGCAGCTGCTCCGGTTCAAGCCATTCAATTAAACTTTTCAAACGTGGCCAGAACCGACCTCCGCCCCGCCTCCGTCCAGCGAAAGGTATCACAGGAATCTTGCAATCTTCGTGAAAGACTTCTTCATAAGCACTTCAAGTGCAAAAGCAGCTCTAAAGCGGGTTAAACTGCTGCTGGCCAACAGCTAGAAAGATGAACACAAATAACTAGATAAAACGAATAAAAGACAACAACATAGGGGTGGGGTGGAGAGCGAAGAGGGTGAGGGGAGTCAGGGAGTGAATAGAGAGTGAGTTTAATGGAGTGTTAAAAATAAATTAGTTTAGATTGGCAGAACAACTGAAACATCAAAGCATGATGGCCACTGGGGAGTACTTCAATTCCTGAGAATCGCATGGAAAGGCAGTGCTTCAGAAAACATCATTTGATTGTTATTTATTAACGGATGGCTGTCCTGAAGACTGCGCGCGTATATACATAAATGTATGTATATTTATTTGTATGACTATGCGTATGCATTCATGCATAGTTACTCACAATACATACACACATACATATATAAACAATAAAGTTGTATATAAGTACATATACATATACATATATGTACATACCATAAATACAAGAATACAAACAGCCTTACGTAAGTATTCACAGGCATATATGTATATACGTAGGCATACATATACATAAATAAAGACATACATAGACATACATATAGATACTTATACATACACATACATACATATACAGCTATATACATAAATATACATACCCATACATCTATACATACATATACAAATATATACATACATATGCACAATATATGCATCATAGTAATCATTATGCATCATCTTATTCATAATCATATGCAGTATATGCATCATTCGTTCATCATACAACATGTAATATACATATATTCACATAATATATGTATATATAATATAAATATATGTATATAGACATATATGAATGAATAAGAATATACACATATACACAAAGACAAATATAAACATAAATATTTACATACATATGCATAGATACGTGCATTCGCACTTGAATAGATAGATATACACACACACATAAATATGCACACATTTTTCATTAATTTATAGTTGATATACATACAAAATTAAATAAATTCATATAAGAATCCAATCAGAGCTCAGCTTTATATCGATTTTCAAATGATTTCCTCTCCAATTGAAGCTGAAGAACAAGAGCAAAGCTGTTGATTGGCAAAGCGTAAGCCAAGCTGCGGCAGTTCCGTTGAGTCATAAGACGCCAATCTTTTGATGCCAGTCAGCTAGTCAGACAGCGACCTAAATTAACTGAAAAGAACAACTGGGCTGAGCGGCAAGGTGGCCAAGGGGAGGGGCAGCGCAACAGCTGTTATCGAATTAATTACGTATACGAGCGTATGGGAACAGAACCTTCAGTGAGCCGAACAATCAGCAGTGCATCTAGCTGTTTTCTTTTCAAGTCGTTCCCCTCTCCCTCTCCCTCTCCTTTTCACTTTACCTTGCCCCTTCGCCTTATGTGATATGGCCTGTGATTTGTATGGCAGGCAGCGCGAACAACAGATGTGCCACTGAGACGATATGGAGGCATTGTCCAAGCACTGCCATTGCCTATAAATAGTTGCTGCCCCGCTGGGGGCTACGCTTGCGACTCGCTCGACTGCCGATGGCGCGCTGCTGTAGTTTTGTGACCTTGCTGCAGTTGCTCTGGCTGGGCGCTCGCTTGAGCTGCGCCCAGAACTACTGCAATCCCGCACTCTGCCCGGAAGGAGTGCGGCATGTTGTCTGCGGGAATAGTGGTGTAAGTAGTGCCACATCAGAGAAATGGGAAATGGAATGGAATGAAATGGGGGCATTAAACTGAACGATCTATGCTTCTCAGCAATTCGCGAGCGGCTGTCAGGGCGAGTTTGTCTCGCTCGATGCTTACATTCCGCTCATCCTGAAGGAGCACAACGATCGACGCAATCTGGTCGCAGGCGGCGGACTGAGCGGCTTTCCGAGTGCCCTGCATATGGCGACGATGTCGTGGGACTCGACGCTCGCCCAGGTGGCCGCCTACAACACGCTGCAGTGCCGCATGGCGCACGACGAGTGCCGCAACACGAACACCTATCGCTACTCCGGCCAGAATCTGAGCATTCTCTACACGCTCAACATTGACACGGCGACATTTCTGCGGGATCGCATCGCCGCCTGGTTCGACGAGTATCAATATGCGACCAGTGCCGATGTGGAGGTTTATGTGCCGCGTGGCGGACCGTGCGTATGCCCAACGAATCTCGTTGCTTAGCTTTGGTTAGTTAATTCAGTTGGTATCTCTGTCATCCGCAGTGCCATCGGCCACTTTACGACCATGGTGAATGAGCGCAACAATCGCGTGGGCTGTGCCGTCGCCCGGTTCACGGACGCCAATGGGCTGGAAAACACGCTCCTCGCCTGCAACTATGCGGTCACAAATGTGCTAAACAATCCGATCTATCGGGCTGGACCACCGGCCTCCGAGTGTATCAGGGGACGCAATCCCAACTACACCAATCTCTGTGCGGAGAGTGAGGAATATAGCTATAATACGTGGGCCGGCTAATTTTCATTTCCCTTTAAATCCAACTCAATTTCTCCTTCACTAAGATTATATACCTTTATTGTCCCATGTAGGGGTTAGCCATTAGTGTGAAATTTCAATTAATGAAATTCCAAGCTTTTTTACTGGGATAATACCATATTATCCGTTCATTTCCCCCCGTTTCAAACATGTCAGCTGTGAGCACAAGCTAAGTATCAGTATACTGACTTAGCTGGGATTTGAAAAAGTCTTTTATGGTACTATACTATGGGCAAGCGTTTCAATTCTAGAACCTATGCTCGAAAGCAGTGAGAAATACATAATTGTTCTCTGCCATGTGTATTTCAATTTCCCTTTTATTCACTATAAACTAAAACCCAAGTTGGTTTGTGACTTAGCTATAAAATATAAAAATATCCTATGGCTTGTGCCGTAAAAGCCCAACGGTCTAAAGTATCTATTGACTTCCCTTTATGAAATATTTACTATAAAAAAAAAAAAGCCCAGTTGGTTTGTGACCTTGCTAAAATATACCAAATATCCTATGACGTGCAATGTAGTATAAGCGCAACTTTATCCGTGTATATCCCTTTATAAAGCTTGTACTATAAACAAAACCCTTTGCTCAATTTGGTTGATGGCTTGGCTAAAAACCCCACAATAATTCCCTATGACAATTATACGAGCAACGTTATCAAGTATCCGTTGATGTCCCTTTTAGAAACTTGCACCATAATGAAAAGCCCCAACTAAAGTTTGTTTATAACTTGACTAAAAATACACAACCGTGTGAGTACTCGCTAAATGTACTAATATTATCCGCTACCAGCTGAGATAATTTATATATGAGTATTGTCTTGGATTTAAAAATAAAATAATGTGGTATTTTATATCGTAAATGCGTTTATTATGTACAATGAATGGATACCTTGAGATATTCGCGTTGACTCAATTGGTTTTTGTCATTTCACAAAAAATTTTTAATGGGAATTTTGTAAATGCCGCATGGTTTATATATCGTAAATTGTACCTCCAGCTAATTGAATTTTGTATAAAAGTAATAAATCCTTATATTTGTAATATTGAAACTTGATTTCCTTTCATCAATTGAGCTCAATTGGGATCTTTTTTCGATTATTTGTTTGTTGTCCAAATATCGGTTTGTGTCCACACTTTGGATTGAATAGCGTGAACCAATATTGTAATTTGTTGCTATGAAAAACAAAAATTTAATGATCGGTCGAATAGTGAATTCCTGGAGACAGTCTCCCATTTATGTATCTTAATGAAATCCTCCTCGATAGCGTCCAGTGATCCAGACATAGTGTAAAAGTAAAAAAGCCTGATATTTGTATTAATGGGACTGTATCTGGTTTCATCAATTGAGCTCGATTGGGATGATTGTTGATTTTTCGATTGTAGTCTAGAAATGGGTTTATGTCCACACGTTCGAATGAAAAGTATGGATCAAAGTAAAAAATTGTTACTGTGGGAAAAAGACTCTAGCGAGTGGTCGATCCGGTCTTAGGCTCCTTTAATTCAACTATGCGAATTACGATGGGTATATCTTCCACCTTAGTGTCACTGGTGATCGAGTTGGTGAACTCCTCGACACAGTCGGCCTTGAACTGGGCCCATTTGCGTGTCTTGATGAAGTCCTCGTACAGTGTCTTCCTCGACGGTATCCAGCGGTCCAGATAGAAGCGCATGCGCTGCCACATGTGTCCCGGGTTTTGGTCCTCCTCCATCAGCCAGTAGCGTGGTATGAGCAGGCATTGGACAGTGGTGCGGGCCATGATAACGCGATGATCGCCTTTCTCGCCCACCCCAAAAAGTCCGCCAAATGTCATTGAGCCGACGTCCACGAAATGGGTGACATAATTACCTTCGCCCTAAACGGGCGGCCAAGAAGAGTCAGGCATAACGAATATACATTAAACATGGGCAATATTTACTTTATCCCACTTCGATTGATACGATGAACTTGTCAGCGTGCTGGTGCGCGACAGTGAGGCTGTGATTATTGGCGACTCCTCCTCTTCCACCGCTTCTTCGGCCATGTTTTTGCTATTCCTGCTCTGCCTGCTGAGCTTGCTTTGCCTGCTTTGCCTGCTTTGTTTGCTCGACTTGCTCAAGCGACTCGATCGACGCATGCCGTCTGCCACAGTCGAGTCCCGTTTCAACGAGTAGCCGCTGTCCGTCGAACACAAATCCTCTTCGTCCTCGCAAACCGAAAAATCAAAATCGTCATCCCACAGATGATCTATTATCGACTTGTGATGATGCGAATGGCGGAATTGGCGCATCATCGGACGCTCCTCGACAGCCGGTGGCTTCTCGTTCAACAGCTTGCAGTTCGCCTCGATCTTGGCAAACTCCGCCTTGCGCTTCTGCAGGGAAGAAACATAAAGACAACAAATAGATGTACATATATATCCCACACAGTTAGCCAATGAGCGCTGCAGTCAGTCATACCGCCTTCTTCTTGTTTTTGCCGGCTTCGTCCAGCGAAGAGCTCGAGCGCAGCAGTTCCCGCACATCGAACGGCTCTGTCTTGTCGTCCTCTACTTCATTTTCGGAAGCGTCATCGGCCACGGGCGACAGGTCATAATGCAATTCGCCTTTTTCAAATCTAACCTATCAGGAAATAAGGACATATAGAGAGAGAGAGAGAGAGAGAAAGAGAGATTAAACTTACCCTCATATACAAGCATTGCAGTATAACGCATTCGCCGCTTAGCACAAAATACACATGTTGTATATTATCCGAACTATCCGGATAGATTGTGCTCAATGGATCGTATTGTCTTAGGATGCCAAACTTACAGGCGCTCACAATCTGAAAACGGAACATAGAGAGAGAAATCGAAATGAGTGCAAAGGGAATAGGCAAATGAAGCGTTTCATTAGATTTCTCAATATATTATATAAAAATCTCAGTAGAAACTTCAGCTTATGCCCATATCTTTCCGATCAAAGTACTATATCATATGTCGTCCTTAGGAAAACCGCATCAAAATACTATTAATTTGTATTTAACGAGTCTCTATGTATTCCATACACAGACATCAAGAAGTCTTACCTGTGAATCATTCATGTATTTCAGATAGCTTAGCGAGGCAATCGCCCTCTTCTTCTCAATCCAAACTTTTTTCACATATGGCATGAGCATAGCCCTGAAATCGAAATCGTCCAATGCCAAAATTTCGCAATTAGCTGAAGAATTTAACTTATTATAGGCAACAATTAACTAGCATTCGATTATTTTTTTTTTTTTTTTTTTCAAATGATTTACTTGTAGCCTTATATGTATTCATTCGTGAATTCTCCTCGAGCAGCTCAACCTCGCCAATCCAATCGCCTGGCCCGAAAAATGCCTCAGGCTTCGATTCCACTTTGCGTGATATCTACCAAAGGAATTGTTGGATAGTGAAATATGTATATATATAAATATATATGAATGAGCATATATATAACATTACCTTATTCATTAATTTTCTTGACATCTCGACCTCGCCGCTCACAACAAAATAAACACAGGTGGGCATATCGCCCTCTTTCATTAAGGTGCGACCCGCACTAACGACCATAAAGTGAAGATAGGGCACCAGACGAGCTCGAATTTTCTGCGAAAGATTTCGGCAAGATTCATATAGGTGAATATAGTAATATAGATGGACAGAGATGTCTTACCGGTGGCACTTGGGTGAAACAGCCTAGGCTAGCGACGATTGTGCAAAGTTTCTTGCGCTCTGCTATAGAGCGAGTGGAGTGCAAAGTGGCCAAGAGACCTTTTTGCTGCAATACAAAGGGAATACAGGTGGTATAGAGGGTTATATAGAGGCCTGTATAGAGTATTTGTGGAATCTATAGCACATGGAGTATATAGAGTGTATGTGGGGTATGTACTCTGTAATTTATTTAGAATAGATAGAATATATAGGGCAAATAAAGTACATAGGGTATATAGAATCTATACAATAAAGTTTGTAGTGTATACAAAGCGTATAGAACGTATAGATCATATTGGGTATATGCTGCATAAGGTGTATATAGAATATATAGAGTACATGTATGTAGGATATATATACATATATATATATATATATACAGCATAATATATATACAGCATAATACATATAAGTAGATTGTATGAAGCAGTATATAGATCATACTATATAAAATATAAATAATCATAGTGTATGCAGAGTATATAAAGTATGTCGGATGCTTACCGCCATTGTCAATATGCCCGTCTTATGCTTCTTGCGCACCAGCATCGCCACATTCTTCTTCACATTCAGGGTGATGCCCTGATCGTCCGTCTCATTCACCCACTGATGATTGGCATAGGCGACGCGCACCACACGCTTGAAGCGCAGCTTGGCCAGCTTCTTCCTCAGCGCATCATCCACTTCCTTGGTACGCTTGTTCATTGCAGCCGACTTGTTGGAATGGTTCTCAAGACGAAAATATATATGTATATATAGAGAGATTTTTTATATATTTTGTTAGCTTTCTTTGTTGTGTTTTCTGTATTCTTTGATCATAAAGACTCGAAGTCTCGTCTATATATGAAAGGGGTAGATAAAAGGCGTCTACTATGTTTATTTTGAATTGGTTTTCTCATGCATGACCTACTGAGTGAGTTGTGTGAGTTGAGTGAGCATGGGTAAGAAACATTCACGTCAAAGAAACATTCCAGAATTACCCACTTTCCCCTAACTAAAACTAACTTTGAGTGCAAATCGAAGGCACTCAGACTCAGAGTAGGGGAGAGGACGTTGATTGAGTAATTGGGATTGAGCATCTGCTCAGTTTAGCCCCGCAATCTGCAGAAAGCTCTGGCCAAGCTTTTGGGACAGCTTTGCAGTGGTGCTGGCATCGTGGTGAACAGCGCGAGAATTGAGTGGATTGCATCGAGTGGCATTGGCTGGAGAGTTTTGAGTGTGTGCAGGATGGCGCTGAGCTTGCACTCAGAGCCAGCCGAGCTGTTCATTTGGATGCTTCGCCATGTGTCCGTAATTTTGCGAACGACAGTTCATTACGGTTTTCAAGGATAAGCGATGCCAACGTGCTGGCCCCGCACTGGCGGAACATCCAATTCAATTGTCGTCTTTTATTGTCGCCTTTCGCTGCTCGTCTAACGGAATGCGCGATTCAAAAAAAAAGGAAAAAATACAATCAAATAAATAATTGACTTAGATTCTACCAAAAAGAAATAAAATTAAATAAATAAAAAAATACAAATTAAATAACCAAAATTATTAAAGTTTCGTGCGTAAAATCTACAAATGTTTTGTTGACTTTTTTTAACAATTTTTTTTCTACCATATATATATATATATAGTCCCTAGATATATATATATATATATGTGAAATGCAAACAAGTGCCAAATGTGATGTGAAGTATAAAAATCAAAAGAATAATAGAATGCAACAACAGAAATGTTTTAATAACAATTTTTAGCCACGAGTCGCAAGTGAGCGCGAGTTCCGTTCTTTTTGTTCATATCTGGAATATAAATTAAGCAAACAATTTAACCGGGTGAGTGAAAAGTTGTACATATTACCTACTCTGATATTATAATCCTGGGAAATTCGCAAAGCTTATTTGCCGGATGCATTTAATATACTTTACTCATATTATGCCAGCTCCATTTACCACGCAAAAACTGTTTGCAATTCTCCTTTTTTTTTGCGTGTGTGTGTGTTTTTTTTTATCATGTGAAAGTTCTCGGCAGCTGCAATGGAACAAGAGTTCTTTGCATATTTCCATCTGTGTACTCAACTCAGTCAACGGGCCATTGTGTGATTGCATTTCGTGATCATTATTAGATAGTTACCAAATGTACTTGAAGGAAGAACAAATCAACAAAATCAAATTATATGCGGGGCATCCTTGTTTTGTTTACAGTCTCTCTATATTTCTCTCTCTTTCTCCGTAGTTTTACATATATATATATATAGAATATAATAAGATGAAGATAGAGGTGGAGCACTCTATCTCTCTCTCTCTCTCTCTTAACTACCTATATCTTTCTCCAGCTCTCTCTATTTCTCTCTCACTCTAGCTTTACTTTCTCCCTCTCACTCGCTTTCTCTTTCGCTTTCTCTATCTCACTTCACTATTCTTTTCCACGTTGCATCTCCCCAACCTCTCTCTCTCTCTCTCTCTCTCTCTCTCTATTATCTTTCTCATGCCCTCGCTTTCTCTATTTTTACCTATTTACTTATTACTTTTACTTAATCTATCTTTTTCGCTCCTCCTTTTTCTCTACTTAGATCTCTCCCTGTACTCTTCCTTCCCTCCCTACCATACTTCTTTCTATTCCACCCCTCCCCCTCTATCACTAAGGCGCACTCATATCTGCGCTTCAATTACTACATTCTTGTTATCTCTGATGTTTATACATTTTCTGTAATTTTCACTTCTTGGAATTTTCTATTTTCAAACCTCTGTTTTTTCCATTATTTTTCTCAAAAGTCACACAGTCTCGCTTTATTATGATTTTTGCCTTCCATAAAACACATTTGTGACTTTCTTATATTTTAATTTATTCCCTTTCTAGGATTCGCTTACGAATTCTGGCTTAATCTGTCTTTTGTCCTCTAAATCTTCTCAAGCTCTGCCTATCTTTATCTCTCTCGCTCTCTCTGTTTCTGTATACATATCGCTCTCTATTTTTCTATATAAATATACATATATATATATCTATCGCTCTTTCCTTATATATACATATCTCTCTCTCCCTTTCTTGCCCTCTTATTTTCTTTTGTTTTTCTCATAATTGTTTATTAAAAACTTCCCAATTATTGCGGCGGTTTCCCTTTCCCACTACATTCTCTTGTAAGAAATAAATTATGGCATTCCAATCCCTCACACCCCATCTCTCTAACTATCTCTATCACTCGCACTCGCATTCTCACTTATGCGTTCACTCCTGAACTCTGTGTCTCTCCCTTTCTCATTTAGTTTTTATACTTCATTTAACATTTTTGAAATAATGTGGTTGTTAGCCTGCAGCTCGTCAATCTTTGTATCTCGCTAGCCATCTCCCGCTCCCCCTCTCCCGCACACCCCTTAAATTAACTAATTTTAAATTAAATTCAGTTGAGGTCGCTCATGAAATTGAGAGAAATATAAATTTTTGATTAATGTGGTATGAATAATTTATTTGCTGCACATTAAAACAATTACTTTGGTTGCAAAAACATTAATGTTTAATGCAAAAGAGTAGAAGACACACACAAGCACGTATACAATAATATACATGCATATGTACATATATATATATATATATGTAATATATGCAGATGTAAAGAAACTGATTTGATTTATGGGGAGCGCACGAGCGTAGTCCTTATTAATGCATTCGGACCCCCCTAAAAATAAAAATAAAAATCCTACAGAAAATTTAAATAACATAATTTATTATTTAAAAAAACATGAAAGCTATTGCTCTCTATGGCTATAGCAAACGCAATTTGCTTATATGCTAATATAATGACTCGCACTCCATATCCTTCAACTCTGATTCAATTCAACAACATTGACTGCCAAGAGCTGCCAGCCGCTCGATTCTATTTCATTTGCCTAATCCGAATGGATGTTGTTTTCAATATATAAAAAACTCGGAAGAACATGATTTCGCCTGACAATCGAACCTGCTCGACTAACAGATGCCCTAGACCCTATGAGGAGCTGATCCTTCAATCAATCTACGCTGGCAAACAATATGCGCCCTGCCACGCCTCCTTCTGCCTGCATACACCTCCACAAAACCATAATACCCTGATTTCGCACTTTCAATGGGTTCACTGTTATAGAACTTGAGTAAAGACTCGAAAAATAGTTGCACAGCCAAACAGGTCAGTACTAATAGAGTTTGCCTAATAAAATAGCTCTAAACGCGTAGCATATCTTAAATAAATAAATTATACATGGTTTATTTATAGTATATCGTATGTGTTTCTGTCAAATATTTGGGCAACAGAAACCGCATTTCACATTGCAAATCTATCTTTGATATGTGCATAAAATTTGTTTATTAAACAAAATGCATAGAAAGCAAATAGCAAATGCTGCAAAAACAAACATTTGTCATATGTAAATCAAGAGTTTTTCTTGTTGTTGTTATGTTTTTGTTTTTACTTGTCATTTTCTTTTTATTTTTTTTTTATTTTGTGATTTAAACACTTTTTTGCAACAGCGTAAAATCACATGTCATAGTGATTATTTAGACATAAAATGGAAGGACATGTTTTTTAGAGTTTGCCAAAAAGCTGAAAATACAAAAAGAAAAACTCTTTAAATAAACATAGATATGTTTTGAAACTGTTGTCATAACAAGTTTTCGTCACTTGTTTTTGTTTAGCATAATATCCATATCTTTTGTCGCGCTTCCTCGTAATCCCCATCAGATAGGATACCATTGCCATAAAATTCCTTTTTTGCCACTAATTCTCCAAGTATATACAAGCCGGATTTATCTAGTCCATCATAACGGTGCAGCGTCCTTCCAAGAACCTTTCAGATCTGACTGCTGCTGGCTCATAGAACATATCTTGTTTTTGGCCAACAAATTTATACAGGCTCTGGCTACAATTTTTGCAAGTCAAAATGGAAAACGAGTTAAAATATGTACAAGCTAAAGAGCTGTCAAAACTTAACTGAGCATATAACATGATAGAGCCTGGCGACTTATGTGAGACAAAGGAGCAGCAGGATAACGAAGCAGAACAAACGAAAATCGAAAATTTCTGATGCTGTTTTAATAAATATTATAAAATGCATATTTATTTATATTCATATACAAGAATCCAGGACAAACGAACATCGAAAATTCCTGATGTTTTTTTAAGCATATATTAAAATATATATATTTATATTATGTGCATGCATATATACGAGGATCTAAAAACTTTTTGAGAAAAATCAAAAATAAAAAAAAATAAAAATAAAAAAACAAAAATTATATAAACATCTATTCATATTTAGTAATTTATTTTTTAATATAATACTAATTTCAACATGTTTATATTTTATTTATTTCTTAATATTTTTTTGTATTATAGATAAATTATTCAATTTCAATATACACATATATATATATAATTAAATAGTATTTTCTGTTAAATATATAAAAATAATTGTAAATTGCTGTATATTTCATTTTTGATGTGCTTCTAAAATGATTTCATGAATTAAATTCAATGCAATTCAATTTGCCTGCTTGAACATTTGTAATATAAACAGTTCGCCATTTGCATAAATACATTAGGCCTATCAACTTTTTGCCGCACATTTTTCATATCGTTGTTTCAATTTCCAATTTCAATCCGCTCAGCATTTGGCTAACTGCAAAAGCTCCGCCTTACTGTGGGTGCTTGGGTCTGATTGTTTAAACCGTTCAAAATGTCGCTTTTAATGAATGGCAGCAGTGCGTACATGCACACATATATACATACATACATATGTACATATGTATATGTATGTATATGTGCGTATGCATATGTATTTACACGCAATTGCACACCAGTTTGTATCAGCATAATGATTAGATTATGTTCTAAACATGCATACTTGTGTATGTGTTTGTGTGTGTGTGTGTGTGTGTGTGTGTGTGTGTGTGTGTGTGTGTGTGTGTGTGTGTGTGTGTGTGTGTGTGTGTGTGTGTGTGTGTGTGTGTGTGTGGAGGGAATCCATTAGCCTAAGACTATAGACAGCAGCATATGCAACCAATGCCAGTGTAACCAAAAACCGCAATCTTGTTATATTCAGTTAGCCCCAACAAACATGCCGCAATAACCTATACTTACTGCGTTAATGTATGAGTACAACTTTGTGTATTTATACATATGTGTGTGTGTGTGTGTGTGTGTGTGAGTGTGCGTATGACGAGTAGTCAACAAAGTTACAAAGCTGCGAGAGGGTAAGAAAAAGTCGTAATCCCAAGATGTCAACCCGGTTGTTGGGCGCCTAAAGAACTTTCTAATCTGAATATATATACCTATATATGTATATACATTTATATGTATGTATGCGTATGTATGTATTACCCAAAGAAGATGAAGAATTTGGTGTAATAAACAGCGCAGCTGAGGGCTGTGGGTGGTTAGCTAAAATGTGTACAAGACTTACGCGTAATGCGTATGAAACAAAACAAAGCACGTTTTGCACTCAATGAGGCACAGCAGGTGCTCCACTGCAGACACACACACACACACACACACACAAACATACATACATGTTTCAGCTAAGATTTTGTTTGTTTGTTTTTTTTTTTTTTTTTTTTTGGGGGTTGAGCTTTACGCATATGCTAAGCGACGGTAAGCGTTAAGAGCTAGTTAGTCAAAGTCAGGTAAAGAAAGGCGAATGCTAACGATGGTCTACGATGTCTCGGCCAGGGTCGCAAGAAAAAATAAAAGAAAAAGGGAAAAAAAAGAGCGCCGCAAGCACGTGACACTGATGATGATGCCGCTGCTGCTGATGATGCTGATGCTGCTGATGCTGATGATGCTGAGCGCTGAGCGCTAAGAGCGGCGACCAAGAGGATTTCATAAAATGAAATTTTGCTATACAAGAGCCCCATTCGAGTTTTATTGCTGCTATGTTATGAGAATATTCTGTCCGCCCAGCTGGCCCGGGTCGCCCATCAAGTGCAATTAGAATACGCAAGGCTTTAAGCCTTCCCAGTCTCTGACTTTGCTGCTGTCCCCTCCCACCCCCCCCTTTCCGCTCCTCTCATCTACGCTTCGTTGTTATCGCTGCATAAGTAAATAGTTGCCAACGAGTCGGCCTTTAAAATTATTTCGCAAATTCAAATGTCAACAACGTCAGTCGGTGGCAAGGCAAAACAACAAAATAAAACACACACACACACACACAGAGACACACACACAAGAGAAACAAAAGGGATGCGCCTAAAACCAAACAATAGCGAACAATAACAGCGAACAACAAAAAAGGAGAGAACGCAAAAAAAATGAAATGATGGGGGAAAGAATAATGAATAACAGGACACCAAATATGTGATACCCTTTCGGATAATCGATAGTAGATAATATAAATATTATATATAATTTTTGTCAGACGAAAGTTTGAATAGAAGAATAGAAATGAATTTGAGTCGAATTTCGTATATATAAATATAATATAGTAGTCAGACATTGTTAACAAAATACTGACCTATAGGAAAGAAGAGCTAGCTGGCATTATGTATGAATATTCATTATACTGAATTTGTTTGATATACCAATCCGTTATTATAATTTATAAATAAGAAAAATCCTTGAAATTAAAATTCAATTAGCAACCGGAATTTCCTGCAAGCTATAAGACATAGAAATTAGTTATTGTTAAGAACAAAATTTACATAACCTCAAAAATATGTAGTTTACTTTCGATTTCTATTGACACAAATCCCATTAATATTCTCTGTACTAGAAGCATATTTTACTGCAAACCGATAAAGTTCGAAATTCTAAATTCGATTGACTAGAAGATAAGAAGAATTCGTAAAAACTTAGTTTAATAACGATTTCTAACACTACTTTAGTACCCCCCATATCAAAACTACAATATATCACATAGTAATCACATATTTTAAAGAGGAGAACTAATGAGAGCCTAAAGAATTAAAATTCTGTGCTTGATAATAATAGAACTACATGAAATAGTAAGCTGCAAGAAAATCTTGGGAAAATTCCATGAAAATTCAATTTATTTTCCAACTGCCCTCTATACTACTATACAATATGATATGGTAAAAATTTCGATGTAAAATCGTCGATACTAGATATCTACTATACACGTAATACTTCTCGTTCAAATCAGACTCTATAATCGCTAGTTGCCAGATCTTTCTGGTCTAAGTGACACACTTCATGAGCAAACTATAATGCCCTCTCGCAGGCAACATGGAAAAAAGGCAAAGAGAATGAGAATGTCAGCAAGAACAAGATGAACAACAACAACAACAACTTCACTAATATAATATTTATTACGGTGATTATGTCTTGAGCCAAGGGCAAGTGCTAGCAACGCCCAACAGCCTCGCAGCCACACAGCCTCTGAAACATCCAGGCCCCGAGGGGAGTCCCCAACGGCCGATGGGAAAGTGGAAATGAAAGTTGAGAGAAATGTAATAAGCAAGCACTTTGTGGGCACAGGCAGCGGGCAGCGGGCAGCGAGCTGGAGATATATCAACTATGATGGACGCCGGCAATGACGACGACGACGACGACGACGACGACGACGACGACGACGACGATGACGACGATGACGATGACTACGATGATGAAGAGACAACGCAGCTGGCCAAGGTCCATTGCCGTAGGAACAAACTTTAATTCATTTTATGTACCTTCTCTCACAGTCTTTCTCTCTCTCTCTCTCAGTCTCTCGCTCTCCCTGTCTCTCAGTATCCTAAGGCAGTAAAAAATCGCTTTGAAATCAGCTTTTCTGATACAAATCAGAAAACTTAACTAACTTCAATAGTCGCTCCCTCCCTCTATATATAGCCCTGTCTTTCTCTCTCTCGCTCTCTCTTTCTCTCCCATCACTTGACCTGCTTAATCAATAAGTGACGCATCACAATCTACACCTTTGGACGCGCTTACGCGTTAACTGCAAATGATGAAACGCGTTTGACCGGAAAACATTTATTTACCAATACATTTTTAAACAAGTTTACCTCATCATTTCCGCTCTTGAATTGCAATTTTTTATTAATATTGTTGAGTTAACAGAAATGAACTTTCCGCTAACTGTTGTCCACGTCAAAGGGGGGAACGCTTTGTGGAGCACTACGCAAAAAATAAATATAAATAAAAATCAAGAAAAAAGAAAGTTTAATCAAACTGGTTCTGCTGCTGCTGCAGCTTCATAATATAAAGCAATGGAGTGCATTTTTAGTAGAACAAAGATTGCAGATTGAAGACTTGATTGACATTAAAGTATTATGTATATGCTATATACCTATATACTATATTAAAGTGGAAGAGTTTTTCCAGCTTTACTTTATCAGCATTGGGTTCTAGGGCGGTACGAGTGCAAGTGAATGCAGTTTAAACTGCATGCATCGAATTCCCAACTGGTTCTAGCTTAGCTGGAGTAACTTATGATAAACCTGGGAGTTTCTTAAATGGGATTTACAGAATACCCAAGGGACTTGCTTGGCGGAATGAGCTGAATACTGAACAAAATCAGAGATAAAACAAAACTAATATATGTATATTCGATTCCCCCATTTTGAAGTGTTTCGGGGTTGGCAGTACCCGACTAAGAGCTACCCTAATTTCCGAGCAAAAGCTGCTATTGAAATCATTGGACGCTTCTGTTAATCATACATATCAACCAACACATGCACACACATATACACACACACCACATCACACATACACACACTCACACACAGCAGCACGCACTCTGTGTACTGCGCTTCTGTGGCTTTACTGTGCCAACTTAATTGTTGAATAACTTTGCTTCTAGATGGACTTTCCCAATCAAACTTTCGGAGCATAATAATGACATCCCCATCTGTGCGGATGCTAAAGCATAAGTTGCGTCTAGTATGTGAAATATTTTGCTTGATGGGGCCAAGTGGGAGGTAGCCAGTGTGTAAGGCATACAACATATCTGTATGCATTACAAGAGGAGCCCTCACACTGAATTTAAAGTCAACTTCTGTTCTGGTATTTAAATTGGCGATAATAAGGAAAAATAATAACGAACTTGTACTGTGTGTGGTACAGTGGAAGAAATGAGCTACCTAGTTTTTGTGACTTACGAGATCGGACGGACAGAGGAACGAAAGGTTGGAGGAATGGTTTGAGGCAGAGGCTAATAGACGGACAGCTGAATGGGCGGACGAATGGATATAGAAACTGATGGACTAGTATATAGACAGATAGATGGATGGACGAACAGCTGAACAGGTGGAGAGAAGGGAGATAAGGACGCATGGAAGGATGTAGGGATGTAGGAGAAATACCAGCGCTTTTGGATAAGCTCTACAAATTAAGTTAAGTTTGACATTTTGCGTTTTCGAAAACTGTTTTTTGCCGTTTGAGCCACGCCTTCTCGCCGCTCAGTTATTACCTATTAATTCAATCGTGTGTACTTTAGACATAATATAAAGAGAATAAAGAGACGGGCAGATCAACAGACAGATATAAAGATACCGATTCAGCCATCAATAATATTAATAGAGTCGAGTCTCCATAATTCGTACCCCGCTAATTCGAAAATCGCGATAAATCGAAAATAAATTATATCCCCATGAAAGAAATTCGTTCTCAATAATTCTCAAAAATTTTTAATTTCTGTGTAAATAGAAAGTAAAACTGATCCCCTTGCCATTTCGAACTATGTATCAGGATTCTACTGTATATATTCCTTATGACTCCCCCCACTTTCTGTTACGTGCATCATTAAAAAGCAAATATACCCTGAACTCTCATTTTCAGTGTATTTATACTTTAAGCGACCTTTCAATATTTGAGCTGTGTCAATTTTTTACGGACTTCAGCTCATGTAGTTGCTGATTAACACTAATTGACAAATTAAGTTGGTTGAATGCACAAAAGGCGAGCAAATAGTCCGCAAAGCTGTCACTGAATCATGATTCTGCGTGTGCTTTAAGCCGCATCTACCCGACAATTTTTCATATGTTGCGATATTTTGTATGATATTAAATTAAGTGAACTTTACTTTTTATGCAATTCCAGCTGGCCACGACGGGAGATCGCATTGAACCATTCGCAGTGGCGGCTCGTCAGAGTTTTGGATGGACAGCTAATGCTGTGTGCGCCAGCGCCTGGAAACGTTGAGGGCAGCTACGTTTTGAGAATACAATGAAGGTTTCTGATCTCAACAGGGCCGTTTGTCAAAGTCACGTCATCCCGTGCAAAGGATGAGGCGTTTACAAGTTAATAATGCATCATTAGCATCAGCATCAGCATCGGCAGCGGCAGCGGCAGCGGCATCAGCAATCGCGGCCCACTCAGCCCAATCGAACTATAGCCCGGCCATCAGCCTGAGCCACAGTCGGAAGCGGAGTCCGTGGAGTCTGAGATGCTTTTGGCTGTTCGCCGTATTCACAGTTATTGAATTTCATGTACACTTCGTGCTGGGTAAGACAACGCGCACAAAGAAGGGCGGGCACAGAGGGAGGGGTGGATAATTGGAGCGAATCAGATGACAATCGTAATTGGAATAGCTGCAATGCGGTTAACTGCAAGCTGAAGCCAGTTGACAGGGGAAACCTTTGTTGTTGCACATTCACTTCATATGCAATACTTATATTTATCAAATATTTTGCAGGCACCACAGCAACAGCAGCAACAGCAACAACAACAACAACAGCAACAGCAGCAACAGCAGCATCAGCAGCAACTGCATCGATATCAACTGCTGCTCTTAGCAAGCCGAACGACAGCAGCTCGGAGAATAATTTCTATTTTGATGAGAGTATTACGAGCAGAGCGCTATCTCTCATTGCCGCTGACACAGCAGCGCCGCAGCTCCTTGACGTCTCCTCGATGCCCGGCGAGACACAGCCAGCGGCCACAGCAACAGCAACAACAACAGCAACAGCAACTCGTACAACAAGAGCTCGGACAACAGCTCACAGCCAAGCTGGACTCCTGGCCTTCAGCACAGCTCGACTGCCTGGCCTGAGTGGCAATAGCAGCACGGCCCGGACTCAAGATCCCTTGGCTGCTTCAGCGGCGACCACCAAGAGCGCACGCAGCGCCACCGTGAAGCAGCCCATCGATGTGGCACGCTCCCGAAACCACTGGACAGCCGGCGGCGGTGGCGTTGGGGGTGGATTCACAGATGCGGAACGTTCGCGCACTTTTCGCAGCAAGTATCATCATGAGAACCACTATGGACCCTTCTTCGAAGAGCCGTCGAATCTAGTGGATCCCGGCAAGACGCTCGTCGCTGCCGTGCATCTGTTCACGGAAGCCGTGCTCAATTGTCGCGTCGGCATGCTGAAGGATAAGACGGTAAGCATATATATCGAATAAGGTAAGGTATATATATCGAATAACGATATATAGGTGACAAATATATCATTCTGCGATATACATATATATAGTTCTTCGATATTGATTCCTAATCTTAAGTTGAATCTATATATACCTGCAATTTTAAATATAGCATATAACTAGAATCCGTCCTGATATTCCGTGACATGCCCGCTTTTGTAAATAATGTCCCGGTGTCCCGACCTGACACGAAATTTTCCCGAGTTTCTACTGTTTCGATAAAAAAGATCGTCGTCAACCGTCCCTGAATGGCCTCAAGACCATATGGTAACCCTACATAGAAATATAAATATATAAAGATATATTGAAAGACCATTCTCATATAAGTTTATCTGGGGATCAGAATTTTCTTGGTAATAACCGTACGGAAGCTATAAGTGAAGTCGCTATAAACATATATATACGTATATATCCAAAATTGTTTCTATATATCCAAATTCTACAAAAGAATTCCTAACCGAACTCTAAGTTTAATTTTTAAAATTTTAGGTACTTTTGGTATATTTGAGGTATTCGCTGATGAAGTATTCCAAACTTTCAATAAACTCTCATTGAGGGCGTGGCAAAATGAGAGCTACTACGGAGAATATCGTTTTTAAAGCGGAAGATTTTAAATATACATACATCGAGACTTTATAGCCACACCCTTAGAGGAGTATAAAATAATTTGTATGTCATTTACGATAGCTTTAGAGTCAGAATCTTCATTTCGTATAGTTGAGCTCCATTATTCCTCCTTTTAAGTAAGAGTTATACGACTGCGTACAAATGTAGATATATGCCAAATGCTTATATGATGAGCCAAAGCTAATGATATTGGATACAGCAAATTGAATATATCACAAATGAATCATGTCTTATTTGCAGGTGATGTGGGTTAGGCGCACCACTGAGAAGGTCTCACTGCTCACCGTTGGCAATGTCACATATAGCGGTGACCCACGTATACGAGTCAAATTTCAATATCCGAACAACTGGCGTCTGATGATCAATCCAACCCAGAGGGAAGACGCTGGCATATACATGTGCCAGGTTTCAACACATCCGCCGCGCGTCTTTACCACAAATCTCACCATTTTGGGTGAGTCGAGAGATGACAGTAGATTCACATCTTTGGATGTTAATTGATTTTGGTTTTCCGCTGCAGAGCCACCGCTGAGGATCATTGACGAACACGAACGAGATGTGGGCGACAGATACTACAAGTCCGGCAGCACCGTCGATCTCCAGTGCCAGATCTCACGCAACTTCTATCAAAAGGAACGTCTGGCCATACTCAAGTCAACGGAGTTGGGCAACTCGGCTAGCAAGCAACTGAATGATACGGCTAGCGAAATGAATCTAATCGGCGATGCGAACCATACTCACAATACATACTCCAGCCAGGAGCTGGAGAAATATTTTACTCATTTCATTACCTGGGCCAAGGACGACGAACCGCTCCAAGCACTGACCAATAGGCGTTCTAGGTAGGTTCTACTTATACTTTTAAAGAATTTTACAGGCAAATTTTCTACTACCTGAACTCTTTGAGAATGGGAGTTCGGGGTATAATGATTTTATAAACAAGCAGGAGGAGGCGTGGAAGACCATATAAAGGTTGATGAGCTGAGTCGAAGAGTTTGCCTGTCTGTCAGTCTGTCTGCCCGTGGAACGAGCTGTATTCGTGCGTCTATCCGTCCATTTATCCGCTCTTCTCTCTGGGAATCTCTGGAATCTAGCCATTTTTATGAGCTCAGCTATCGCATAAGGCCGAAAAGCTTACAGACTTCATATCTTAAACAAATATTCTAATATGCCATAAGCAGTACAAGCTTATCATTATAGTACGGCTAATCGTAAGTCCTTAATATCGATAAAAATCGATTTTTTTTTCTTCTTTTGTTCAAGCGCAACTCAAATGCCACAAAAGGCGGCAGCTTCAAATTTATTGTGGGATTTTCTGTAATGAATACCCAAATTTTGCATATTTTTTATTTAGGATATATGTATACCCAGTCATTCAGCAAAACATTCGCAAAGAACATATTTCAAATACTAGAGACTTGTGCTTTGGCATCTAGATGTCATTATCATGCTCCAAATTTGATTAAGAAAGTTCAGCTAGAAGAAAAGTTATTCGTCAATGGAACTCTCATTATAAGGCCCATAAGCACGACCCAAGCGCAGTCGCTGGCGTCAACTGCGCAGTAAACAGAGTGCGTGCCTATGTGTGTACATGTATGTGTGTGTATATTTGTCTGTGTTGTGCTTGTTATGTATGTATAAGAGAGATGTAGATTGATTGAGTTAAGGGTATTATTTAGTTAAACACTCCCAAACAGAGCTTTATTTATTTCAATTTAAAAAATTAAAATAAAATAAAATAATGTTAGTATTGAATAAATATATCTACAATTATTTGTTAATTCAATAGCAAATATTTACAAACTTAAAGAAATCTATAAAGAGCTAATAATCGAATTTTTCTTTCATCAAACTTGTTGGAGTATGTTCTAATTACAATAAACCATTTTCTTTTCTGCTTTACAGCGTGTCCGACAAATGGCTCAATAGTCGAATTTCTATATCCGATGCCAAGCTCTCAGATAGTGGAAATTATTCCTGTTCCCTTGGTCGACTCTTCACTGTAATTGTACAGGTCCAAGTACTCACGGGTAATACAAATAAACAAAGTTTTTGGCTCCCCAAACGTTGCTTAATTTGCTTGTGTTTTTGCTTTTCGTTTTCAGGTGAATTGCCTGCTGCAGTTCAGCACAATTTGGCACGAAGATCCGGCAGTTGTCTGTCCCTCTCATGGAGTCTCTTCATTATTGTTATTTGTTTTTACATACTCAAGAGCCATTCATCACAATTTCATAGTATTAAAGCGACGAATGAATGAATGAATGAATGTCTGACGTAAAGGAATTGTACTTAGCATTCGATCATTCATCTATATAATAATATATGGTATTTCTGACTAAATACCAGAACATAGAATATTTCTGAGAAACAAAACAAAATGAATTCCATATATGTACGTATATGCTTCACGCTGTGTAACTGCTAAAACTGAAATATTTGTCCAAATACAATGATTGGTCTATGTATGTATCTACATCAATTACATCAAAATACATACATTGAATTTTCTATATCAATTTACACGACTTTCATTGATATTCTTCTTAATAAAATAAAGTCGACAACTTGTTTAAAAACTTAACAAAAAATGAAAACCTAAAAAAAAAATAAAATAAAATCTGAAACAATTCCGAATATCAGTTCAAGTAAACCCACAGGAACTTAGCCAAGATTACAAAAAAAAAAAAATAATAATAATAATAATAATAATAATAAAAGTATGTTTTATTACAAATAAAAAAAAAATGAAAATAAAAAATGGAATTTGTATGCGACAAGGAAAAAGTGAAAATTCAAATAAAATTTGTTATTATGTTTCGTTTGACGTGTGAGTCCAAGTTCAACTTTCACTTACATAAATGAGTTGATTTAACATTTTAATTGTATGTTTCGGCAATTAGTATGTTTGTAAATATTGTAAAATGAGAGAAGTTAGGATTTTACCTCCTCAACTCCATACCGTGCATATATATTTTCTCAATTCTCATTCTGCTAGCTCAAAATTGTATAGTTAAACTATTTATTCGAATTGATTTATATATATATGTATACATAAATATATGTATTAATATCTTAGTTAATGGTAACCTACTTGGCTGGATTAACGAAACTCTATGATCCACCAATATTGTTAAATTGCGATAATCGTGCATTGACATGATTATCATGCTATATTACAAACTAAATCAAAATACATACTTTCAAATATAAAATCCAGACAACGTGTTTTCTTAACCCCATTTCGCTGGGACAAAGTTTCTAGCCGCAAAGTTCGAGTAGATGAAGGGGCCGAGACTGGAAGTTCGAGTAGATGATGATGATGAAGTAACTGAAACTGGCTGAAACTTCAGGTGTGTGGTAAGTGTAACGGTGGTATTTCATGAGGTTGAAAACTTAGTTTAAAACAAACTTTTTATTACAGCTTTTCACGCAATTTAAATTGGCTCAGTGTCGGAAATGACAAATTATTCAATTGTTGTTATTACATATATATATTGTCGAATTGAAAAAATTTATGAAAAATCATTGTGGCTTTTATTTTAATTTATGTTAATTTTTTACGTTAAACATTTATCTAATCATTTAATTTAACAGAAAGCCATAGCAAGTAGCTTATGAACGTGTGCCATTGCACTTAGCTTATGTCTGCTAGCATTAAAAAATCAAGCCCCTCCATAATCGATATTGGCAAACATATTTGGCGCCCAATACATACTGCTTTGACCGATTTTACTTCATTACGGCATACATCAATTTATTCAAAACATAAAATATGGCAAAATATAATGCCAACAACACATTACTTGAAACTTTTGCTACATTCGCTAATAAAGCTCCACAATAGCGTGAGCTTTTTAGAAAATGTAAGCTCTTAACTATCGATGACATTCATAAATCTATCGATTACCATCAGTTTGCCGATCGATGTTTTAAAAGCAATCGCATACTTATTTATAGCACGAATTTTTATTTTCTTTTTGTTTAAATATATAACAACATCAACATTTGATTTACAACATACACAACTTATTTTTTTATTATTAATTTTTTCAAACACATCCTGCAAGGCATAAAAAGTGGGTCTACTTTACTGACTATATAAAAACAAAGTGTGTGTGACATATTTTGCATTGTCTAGTGATAAGGCACATCCATGTATAGAGAGATGTATTTACATATGTATGTCATTATGTGCCTAAATGAACTGCATACAAAATCTGTTTGTGTGTATTCGACCTTTTGCATCAAATTTAGAAACTGGAATGCCTATCTGTTAATTAGCTGAGATAAATGAACTGCGTGTGGGTGGGTGTGTGACTGCGGAAACTATCGATGGAAGAAAAAATGATTCCTTATGCCACTTGTTTGTCTGACTCTGACTTCACCTTGACTAAAGTACACGGGGGCAATGCAAAAACAAAAACGAAACGAAACGAAAAGAAAAACAATAACAAAACGACTGGAATGATAACACAGTAGCAAAAATAACATGCAAGTGATTTCCCCCACAGGCACAATCGTCGGGGCAGAACATGTTGAAGCTACGTAACACCTGGTCGGCGGTGGGCTACAATGCCGGTCCAATCGCGCTTCGGTAAGTTGAAGTTGCCCAACGTACGATATCAGTACGATAAGTGAACTCTAATATCCTCATTTCGATTGTCTTGCCAGCTGTTTGTCAACAACGGCTAGCTGCAAGGATTCTGAATCATGGTTCTCCAAGCTGCTGGTGCGGAAGATCGAGCCAACGAAGGAGTCGCACAGTCGCATGCTCAGTGATAAGGAAATCATATACGCGCTGCATACGCATAATGTGCGCCCCGATTCCATGGGCGACTATCTAAATAATTAGTGAGTGGCAAATCGAATCAGATCAGATAACTTGAAATTAATTAATTTGCTTCTTCTTATTTCTGTTGTTATTTTCAAATAGTAAAAACACTGTGGGCCTAATTAATGAGAAGAAGACGAGTCTGTCATGCAATTTGGTTGCCTCATGGACTGTCCAGGTGGGCGATATGGATCAGTGTCTCCATTTGTGGAAATATACCGGCGGCTTCGAGAAAATCGACCAGGCCAAAGAGGATCTGTGGCACGATGAGGAATATCTGAAGCTAATGAACGAGCGCTCGAAATTCTTGCGATCCCGTCACCTGCAATACCTGTTGGCCTTCAGCTACTGGCCACAGATCACCAGCCGAACGGGCAAAAACATCTACGAGATGCGGCAAGTAGAAACAAATGATTCCTGTTTAAGATTATATATTTTATAATATCTTTCTCTCTATATATATATATATATATATATATATATATATATTTGTATAGATCGTATCGGCTGACTCCTGGCACCATGATCGAGTGGGGCAACAACTGGGCGCGCGCCATCAACTTCCGCAAGCACAACAATGAGGCCTTTGCCGGCTTCTTCTCGCAAATCGGTCGACTCTATAATGTGCATCACATTTGGTGTAATTATAATAGATATATCTTAATTTTAATAGATAAGTTTATATATATATATTTATATACTTTCATCTCATTTAGGTTACAAATCCCTGCAGGATCGCAAGGAGACCAGAGAGGCCGCCTGGCGTTCACCCGGCTGGGACGAGTGTGTGGCATATACCGTGCCACTCATACGCGAGATGCACTGCCGCGTCCTGGCGCCCACCGAATTTTCACCCACACAGTAGTGCGGATCAATCCAAGTACGAATAATTTCCACTGCAGAGCCTAATCTCTGTGTCAGCAGCGATATTCCATTACGAATTGCTGTGAAGAAGAAGACGAAAAACTGTTGTAACCCCAAACGCCAAGCCCCAGCCAAACCAAGCCTGCGCGACCTATATTTCTGTTGAAAACTTGTATATAATGCCAGCATTCGAATGCTTTCAATTCTTTCCTAGCTCTTAAGATCAAAGTGCATTTTTGTTGTCTACCACTTGCATATGACTCCTATTGAAAACTATAGATATATGTATGTATATATCGATCAGATCGGAGCACACAAAAAAATATGAATATAAAATTGTTAATATAAATGTGTACACAACAAATAAATTGTGAATGAATCGCATTTAGTTGAAAAATATTTTCTTTAAATTTTTACTTTCCGATGAGTTGCATTTCATATTGTTTTAAGAAAAACTCATATGGTAAAATTCGAATTTACATAAATAGAAGAGAGTTCACTCTTAGGTATTCTTCCAGCAGAACAACTTCAATTTAAACACTAGAAGTTGTCTTCCTTTTGAGTAAATTCCAATGCCTTAAGCTTTTCCATTTTTTTTTTTTTTTTTTTATAAATATTTACAGTTGCTTAATAGTATTAAGTATATTTTTGGATCAGCTCAAGCCGTACAGATAGTGGAATTCAATTAAGTTGGCTAGATGTAAGCTTAGTTTAAACTTAAAAAAAAAAAAAAAAGAAAAATCACTTGGTTATATTATCATAAGAAATCAATTCTTATGATCCATCTACGACTACTTAGAGCTCATGAAGACTTTTCGCTTCAAGATTAGAAATAAAAATAAGTTATCGTACGAACAAATGAAAGAGAAGAGCAAACTTTTCATATTTCGATTGCTATTGAACATATTATTAAATATATTAATATTTATATATGTATGTGTGTGTATATGTACATACATATATAGGTATATATGAATATATATGTGAATATATATATCTGAAAATATATAAATGATATATAGACATATGCATGTACATATATATCTATCTATATATAGACATATATATATATAAACATATATACATATTGATATATATGCAAATATATATACATATATATATATTTATATATAAACATACATATACATATATGTATATATACACACGCACACATATTCACATATTTTATACATTTACAATATGACATTTCATGAAAAATTTGTTAATCACCCCTCGCAGAGGTATCGAAACTATAAACAAAATAACTGTTTTGTCTTCTTCTAACCCATTGTGGATGCCATTCAAGTATGGACGGCGATAATCCCAGCGGTGATTGTTGTTGATCTTGTTGCTTCCCGACTGCTCCTCCTTCAGGGTTTATAATTATCAAAATAAAATTCTTTCAACGGACATCCGCCAATGGCCGATGCACTTAACAAAAATTTGTAAACTCAATAAAATCGCAATTCAACTAAATAATGGTGTAGTTGTTAGTGTCGATGCTGTTCTTTGTGTGGTTCTCCTCCCTCTTTGCCTTCTTGTTCTTCATTATTATCCTCCTACAGCGCCTCTTTCTCTTTATCCTTCTTATTGTTCAGCTGTACTCATTCACAGCTGTGCTGCCATAGAGGCCTCTATATAGCTAGTCTGAACTTAATGCTTATTGGGGGGAGACCATTTCTTCAGCCTGCTGGCGCACAGTCTTGAGATGCTTCTTGCCCTGCAAGTGCTGCTGGAGAATGGATATATGATTCATCGCCTTGTTGCACAGCTTGCAGTAATACGAGCCGGAAGGGGTACGATACATGGAGAGATCGCCATTTATATCAATGACACATGCGGCTGCTATCGATTGCTGCTGCTCCTTGAGCAGCTCCTGGGCATTTGGATCCCCTTCGAGGTTTTGAGCGCGCAGTTTCTTCTGGTGTTTGGCTCCATCGAGATGCATTTGGATTTGAGATGCTGATGTGACGCTGATGTTGCAGATTTTACAGGTAAGGCTCTCGTCGACAGCATTGAAGTGGTGCTGCTGCTCCTCGGCGGTGTCCATCATATCACTGGAAATGTCATGCATATCACCTCCACCGCCGCCTCTCAAAAACATCTCGCCAATGCCGTAGCGACCGTCATCAACCATGACTTCTGCCTTGGTGCCAGTGCGCACCCAGTTGCCGTCCGAATTGTAGTAGCCGGCGCCCGATGGCTTAGAGCGCTTCTGAACGACCAGCTGGTGCTTGCGGCCAGCATAGTGCTGGCGAGCATGGGTCATCGAGGTCAATGGAAGATCGCATAAATTACAGTGGAATGCATTCGGCCCGGTGGGACCCTGTTTGACGAGACGTTTTATGGGTGGTGTCTCCAGGCCCATTTCGGTGTAGTTCTTGGCCAGCCAGGCGCTGATGTGACGGTCGTGAGCCTTGGACTCGTAGTGGTCCTTGGCGCTCTTCATCGAGGTCATCTGCGCCTTGCACAAGTGACAGGACAACGGATGGATTAGCTTGTTCAGCTCGTCCGGATAGCTCTCGTCGCGGCCCTGAAACAGAACCAAATTATTGCCCTCGACCTCCACGGACTCGTACATTTTTCTCTTCAGCTTGCGCTGCTGTGATGCAATTGCCGAAGAGTGCTCCATATTATTCATCATAACGGGCTGATCACCATGCACTACTTTTGCGGCAGTGTAATAACGATTTGGGGCCATTCTTGCTGCCGGGTGCGATGTGATCTTAACCGACACCGGCTCGCAAACATGCTTAGGCTGCTTGTCTGTTGTTGTAATTAGCGGTATTTGGTATGTACTCAAATATCCAGAAGCCATTTTCGTAAAATTTTTCTTTTTGAGACTGAACGTAAGGTTACTTAAAATCTATTTAAAACAGCACTAGTGATGTGTTGAATTGTCGTGTGCCTCACAGCGCAGGCTCAAAAGTTATCGTCAAAGCAACCATCGCTAGATTTTTCAATGGGGTGTCAAATCGTTCGTGTGAAGCACAAATATCGATTTAATTGCATCGCTCGATGCGCACCATCGCCATAAAAACACAAAAAGCTGCCAAAATTAAACCGGCAACCACCGCGATTATTTTCGAGTAAAAAACAGCATACTGATATACAATTTCAAAGAGTTTTATTTAAATAAATGTCTGTTGGCTTTAAAGAATAAAACACTCCTCTTTTAATTGTCGGGCAATGAGCGGATAATATCCGAATCTCCAGGATCGGTAATGGACATGGTGCACACACGGAAGTATTTACCGCAGGCGGTGCCCAACTCAATGTTGGTTCCACTGTAGTGCTGGACTTCAGTTTTGGCCAACATGGCGTAGTATTCAATCTCCGACTTCCTGCAATTGTTACAAAATGACACAATTAACTATATGCACATCATTTTCCCCCAACTCTTTGCTGGAATATGGTTAATCAGAAAGAGTCTCTAGTAATAAAAATTCGTCAAGGCATTCGGAATTACAAAATATCATCATATAAATAAGTTCGATTACTATTCATATCTATTGAGAATGACTCCTTACCCCATTCACACATATACATGTGAGTGCGTGCGTGCGTGTGTTGTTACTGGAACCATTTGGAGCCATGCAGAACTAGTTCATGTTACACATTGTCGGCGGCGAAGGCGGCAACTGCTGCTGCTATACTACTCCATAGTTTCCATAAATATTATTCGATTGGAATCATATTTCTCAGTCAGCATTAAAGAAGACTCCATATGGTTCCAATAACTACAACAACAGCTACTTATCACTGTTCATACGCGGGCGTAATGGAAATCTACTTCTCAGTAGTATATTTTGTTTGTAACCAAAACGAGGAACACAATTTCAGATTCGTTTCTTTTACCTCAATGCGGGCGTGTTGCTGGCGATGAGCACCAGTTTGGCCTTGCCCTGACGCAGGGTCTTCAGCGTTTGCTTGTAACCCAGGCAGTACTTGCCGGATTTCATAACCAGCGCCAGACGCGCATTGGTGCTCTCTAAGGCCTTTTTCTGAAATTATCAAACAATACGAAATCGTTAATCAAACACTCACTAACAATTTGATTCGCTTTTTATTATTTACCTGTTTCTTTACGGCAACCATATTGAATGTTTTAAGTCGCACAATAACAACTAAAAGAAAGAAAATTAACTTTAGCAATTATTTTTACTAAACACGGAGGAATCCACCCACCTTGGTCGAGTGACGCTGTCAAAAAGGCAGATCAACCAGCAAAACGGAAACACGCTGCCATTGGCAGGGCTGCAGCGATATTCTAGCACAAATACGGTATCCCTAAGATGGTTGCAATCGACACGATTTATTGCATGACAGAGGTGCTTATAGTTATCGATAGCTGTGAAGCGCTAATAAAAATTTGAAAATTTATTTTAAGTTCACATTCACACTTTGAAAATTGTTGCCGCTTTAATATTTTATCCTTACCACTATGAAGTGCCATATATTAACTTTACTCAGTATTTTCTTGTCGAATTTCACATAAAACATTCAAAAAATTAAATCATTGACTAAATATGTGTATTATTGATCATTATAAATATTCTTCCCTTGCAATTTAGAACTGTAACTTTGCTCAGTATTTTCATATCGATATATTTTACTCATGCAACATAATCGGTTTCCAACACAGATGTTACCAAAATGGTGGCTCTAGCAAGGCGCAAATACTTGAAAGGCACACACACACAGACACACAAATCCCATATGATGTGCCTTGACGTGTATATGTGTGTGTGAGCGAGAACATTTATTTTGATAAACGGCACATGTAGTGCACAGCCATACGTAAATATGCGACGAATGAAAACTGCAAAATCCATCAACAAACCACCGCCAATACAAGCGGCAGCAAAGAAGACCAATTTCGATGGCGACAATGATATACAATTTGAAGTGGAACTCTGTTGGTGTGTGCAGCAACTGCAGACGGCTCTCCAGAGCGGCAATCTGAGCCAGAAAGTTGGTAAGGCCAGCCCGGATTTGCAAATTATAACTGAAAACAAATTGTCTAATGCAAAACTACAGCCGAAGACACTTCCAAGAATCTGAAGACGTTGACTAGCCAAACGGCGCCACTCATAAAAAAGCGGCAGGTCATGAAATCGGCGCTCGGCGATTACCGTTCGAAGATGCAACAGGAGGAGAAAAAAATGCTGCTAGGTAAGAGGAAAGCTGAATTAGAGTGAGAGCGAGAAAGATAGGAAGAAATTTTTTAAGAGTAATTTTGCCAATATTAATTAAGTATATATGTTAATATAGAAATAGGAGATAGATGAGAATAAGAAGTAGAAAGAGAGGTAAAACTATAATACTGTAAAATATGTACATACATATGCTCTAATAATACTTGTAAACATTGAATATAATTCATAGAATATATATACATACATATATGTATATATCCTAAACGTTATTCTATATAACATTTACTAAATAAATATGTGAAGCTTTAGTGATTAACTGCTCTCTCTATATATATAATGTATAGTTTAGATATCTAATGTATAGTTTATGACTATTATTATGTATATTATTAATTAGCTTCTTCATATTATACTTGAAGAGTTAATCATCCAAAAGTAAGAAGCTGTAATCTTATTTAATATATCTGTCTACCTTTTATATTTAGTATATGATTCAGAGAACGACTTTGCATAAATGGTCAATTAGAAAGTCTATATTTTATTTAATTTCTATATATTCATATTGAGCTTAATTATCAGATGGAAATATTAATGCATGACATGTCTCTCCCGCTCTCGCTTCGTCTGTCTCTTTTCAATTCATGCTTATCTCTGATATCTCCTGTTTACAACAATCTTCTGTTTTCAGCATCGAAACAGATTAAATTCACAACGGCTAACGAAAACAAACCAAAATCAAGCTTTGTCAAGAAGTCGGCGCTACTGACGTCCGGCAAGGACTTTCGCTTTAACTTTGCGCTGCCCAACAATAACGATGAGAACGAGGCAGCTGCAACCCAGGACGTGCCCCAAACGGCAGCAGCTGCCACAAGGATCAGCAGCAGCTTGCAGCTGTCCTCTGGCAAGGAGGAGCCTTTCAGATTCAACTTCCAAATCGAGAATGGGCCAGAGGACATTAACTTCGATGGCCTTATGCTAAATAGCTAAACTTAATAATAAAATATAGTTAAGTTACTAAAGAAATCCATGTTGTTTGCATTTACTTTAAAGGATGACAAAAGTTGTTTTCTTTTTTTGTATACGTTTGGGCATAAATGTTGGCTATTTATTGCTCAACAAATGCATAAATACTCTTTATTTTCTTTTCGTGTTTGTTTTTGTTTACTAATGCAACTAAAGTAGCATAACTGTACAATAGCAAAAAAAATGTTTACTGCACCGACAACTACTGTTTGCGAAATTGATGTGTTTTGTATGAAAAATGAATCCAAAATCAATTGACGTCGACCTAATAATAGTATTGGAATTGTACTGGATTTATGTTTCCTGCTGCGCCGCCAGTTTGCTGCTGATACACCTCGATTGTGTCGCCCTCCTCCATTTCCAGGGAGGTGGGTGTATCGTTCTCATTGATCGGCTGCCCATCGAAACGAAATCGTACCACCTGCATAGACAGGCCCTAAAATGCACAGATAAAGAGAATATGTTAGTTCTCAACATGATCTTCCATGCTTGATTGCTTGCTTTCTTTCACTTACGGCACGGTCGCAATATGCGTTCATCAGCTTACGCAGTGGAGTGTGTTTCTTTATTTTGAACTGAACCACTGCATTGTCCTGGCCCAGGACCTTCAAGTTGATGTGCTCAGTTTCAGTCTAAGCGGCAAAGCAAAGAATCAGATATTTTAATATAAATTATTTAAAAAATTTAAAAATAAAAAATTTCGCGGTTCAACGCGCAAAAAACAAAATTGAAACAAAATTTGTTTTTGCCATGCTTAAATTACAGAAAACATGTTTCATTTTTTTCTTTTGGTATTTGTATGCGCTTGCATGTGTGTGTGTATATATGTATATTCACTACACGCCGGCTTTTTTTCGCACTAGCCACAATATTCACTTGGAAATAAACAAACTTCGTAAAATATTTACCTTTTTTTCTTCAGACATTTCTATTTTAATTTTCCAGTTTCCGACTATGAGCTATGTATACCGTAGCAGATATTTCGCTAGAATGAGCAAAACAACTCAACGTTGTCAGCAAAGTAAGTTTGACACAACAACAAAAGTAGGGATGACCGATAACAGCTATCGTATTCTCCAGCTCACGCACGAATCAGTTTCATCGAAGGTCGTGCTATGCTGATATTGTCAGCGCGCTGCAACGGTTAAATATATGTATGTAAAGAGTGGTGCGCTGTTTCGTTCCGGAACTAGTTTGAGATGCTCTGCCCGAATTGAACTATGTTTTAAATAAAATATTCTTTTTACTGCACTATTATCAACGTAAACAAATAATTAAAAGGCAAAGTCAAAATTTGTTCTTTTTTGAATAATACGATAATCTTTATTCTATTAAAGGTAATATGAAAAATACTCAATATGGAAGTTATTACTTTTCTATACATAATACATGCATTTATGTATGTATATAAATCTATATTCGTTTATATAGAGATATATGTACACATATGTGTATATGTATATGTTACATTTACAATATTAACTCTATTGGTTTATATACACAATTTTAGATTTGCATTCTGTTGTTGTGTTAATTGATTGAATATTTTATTTACTAATTTTTTGCGTGCATACACAGTCATACATACATATGTACATCTATATAGCACTTTCAATTTCATATATGTATGTATGTATGTATGCATGTGTGTATGTTTGTTTGTTTGTTTGTCGATTTCTCATTATTGTATTCACTGATATGCATTTATTTAATTATTAATTGTTGAACACAAACATATGTACATATGTATGTGTACATATGTTTGAGTATAAAAAAAGACACGCTTATAATCAAATATGTATGTATGTATGTATGTATCATTAGCTTCGTATTTCTTCTAAATATTTGATGTTTATACTTAGCTATGCGTATTCAAAACTTAACTGGAACTGGAACTGTTTAGGGGATGTGAGAGCTCTTCACAGTGGGTATCGCATAGATCACACATACATGCTTGCTTATGTGTATGTATGTACATATGCGTACATGCCTGGATTGGATGGGCCTTGTTTATTTTGCTTGCTTACACACACCCACAAGCGGATTCATTGAAAAGGATTTCTAAAATCACACACACACATACATATATATAATTATAGATGTAATGGACATTTAGATGTTTTTTTGAAAAAGCCTAACAATTTAATTAATATAGGTAAAAAATATTTCTAATTGTAAATGAATTGTTTTCTAACTACCTAAATGTTACGATACACACATACATAAGAACTTTTTGCTTTTATTTTTTAATTACTTGAATTTGATGATATACATACATACACTAGCATGCACATACATATATTCACATAGAAACACATTTCGAGGTATAAAATAAAAAAATTAGTTTTTTTCCTTTGACATAAAGATTCAGATAAAAATTTAAATTTTCATAATTTATTTTTTGTTATATATAAATTCTGTTAGTTTCGGCTGAATATATGTAAGTACATATCTGTTTAACTATATATGTATATATAGATATTCTATATAGATAGTTTCTGGATTATCCGCACTAACTAAAGTTGAGCAATTCTGTTTTGTTTTTGTTTTGTTTTTCTTTTCATAATTCTCGTTCTATTTATAAGACTTCTTCGTGAATACTTCACTATATATATGTATATAGGTTTTTTTTTTTATATTTACATAAATTATTATAATTTCTGTTAATTATTGTTGTAGCTTTCTTGTGTTTCTTGTTGTTTGTTTATTTGGTAGGTTTGTTATTCAATTTTAATAATGCTATAATTAATATACTTTCGTTCTGTGGGACTAACGTACATACATATATATATATATATATATATTTATACATATATAGGTCTGTACTAGGTACAGTCGTGGGCTATAACTTATTAGTGGGGCATACAGAGGCATTTATGTATTTCTCCCGCTCATCCGATTTATATAGATTTTTTTTTTCCATTTATTTATATATTTATATAAGGATGTATGTATGTATATATACATTTATCTACTCTATCACAATTGGAGAGTGCCTAATTTCAGTTAGCAAAAAACAAAAAAAAAGTCATTAGGCCTAGCTTAGCTTATACACACATCGATCTAGAATATGTTTAGATATACTATATATTTATATATGCATATAAAACTGATTTAACAAATTTGCTTTAACTAAATAGCTTTATAAACATTGAGAATTTTCGTCTATACATTCAGAGAGGGAGAGAGATATATAGTATATACCTAGATATATATTATTCATATGTCTCTTTATTGTTTATATGTATACATACATATACATATATAAAAGTACAAAATTGTAATTCAATTCTAGTTTGTCTAAAAGTTTTTCGTGTTTAATTTCTATTTTCTTTTCATTTTCATTTTCATTTTCTGTTTCGTTTTTTTTTTTTCTGTTTTGTAGGTACTTTTCGTACTATCATGATCGAAATGTTGCATGTAAATGAGTTTAATATTTCATAGACAAATCATTTGCATTTGCATGCACTCGCATCATAACAGTTAGTTATTATACAGTTAGTATAGTTAGTTATAGTACAGTTAGTTAGAAGCTTTTTAAGGTACTTAAATGTTTCTTTAAATTTCCATTTCAGTGGTAAGTTTTTAGGCGCACACACACACACATGCATAGGACAGGGTCTGTCTATGCGTGAGTGTGTGCTTTGTGTGTGTGTAGGTATATATACATATACATTTGTCGAATATACACACACCAATCAAACTAATTATTATAAAAAATTATAAATTATAAAAAACAAATAAAACAATTTTTTTTTCTATAGAATTATAATAAAAATAAAAATGTATTTTATGTTTACATATGTGTAGACTTTTTTTGATAATAAAAATAAAAAAAATAATACAAAATATGTACACATATATGTAAATATATTTTTTATTTACTTTATAAAAAATAGATTAATTTACTTTGTCAATAGATATATTTTTAAAAATTTCATATTTATTTATTTCATGCACAGCTACGGCCTTAAAAATAGTTGCATAGTGACGTAGTAGCTCTCTATCGATATCTGAATTAATAAGAATATATATTAAGTGCCAAATGACTTTCAATATATGGAGTTTATCACTAAGATTTCTCCCAACTGTAGCACTACTACCACTATTTTTTTGACCGCAGGTGTATAATATACAATAAGTATGAAAACATATATATATTCTTATTTATTTTTTCATGAAAATAATATATATGAATTTATAAAAAAAAATATTTATTTTTTTTTTAATACAATTTTCTCTCTATTTTTTTGTTTGTTTTCGTTTATTATACATTATAACTTGAATGATTTATTTATTATAATAATATAACTGTTTTTTCTTTTTGCTATTAGAAGGAATTTGTTGACCGCTGTTTCATATATGTATGTAAACATATACAATATGTATGCACATATGCATACATACACACATATATGTATATATATTCAATATTCATTCAATATATTTCTTAATTTCTCAATTTGTTTAGAATATTCTTGAAATTAGGCTTTTTGGTATATACATTTACATATGTTAGGTTAGATTGAATAGCTACACACACACACACAGATACGCACACACACACACATACACGCGCGCACCCAAACACACACACATACATATACATATTGTATATATATATGTTTAGATTATTTAATTTATATATTTAAATAAAAATGCTTGTTTTTTTTTTTTTTTTTTTTCAATTTTCAGTTTGTGTTCTTTTTGTTGGAAATTAAAGTAAACATTTATATAGCACAAGGTATATTACGTAAGCCCGTATAAAAAGTGTAAAATTGTTTTTTTTTTTTCTTTACGTTGTTTGTTTTTGTTTTTGTTTTTTTTTATAAAAGTTACAAATGTTCATATAAAAATAGATATACATACATATAAAAAAATAAAGTCAAATAGTAATACACGCACGCACCCACATACACACACACACACGCACACAAATACACACATCTGCGACATACCCTAGAAGAAAAGATAAACAAAAAACAAAATATGAGAATGATAGAAAAATGAGAAAACTTTGCTATTTATGGCAGTTATAATAAAAACTTGCAACAAAATATCAGATAAACATATAACTCTATATATATAGAGAGAGAAAGAGAGAGAGTTGGGCTGTTTAGTGTTATGCTTCACAGGGTATGTCCATATCGATCATATGTCATTTTGTGTTTCTTCTTTTCATTTGATACAAAAAACAGAACTTATAAACTAATTAAAAAACTTAATGTCAGAGGATTTTATCTAACTTATTTTTTTTTTTGACTTTCTTCTTTTTATGGTTTTTTGTTTTTGGTTTTGTTTTGTTTTCGTTTGTTTCTTTATATATAGTATATGTGTATAACAATTGGAAAACAATTAGTTTAGAAATTCTAAAAAGGATCTCGTCTCTAGTTGTTAATGTTCTTTAATGTCGTGCTTTAAATGTTAATATATAGATATATGTCTATATATCTATGCCTAAATAAACTTTCACAATTACTATGCATATATATATATATATATATATATAGTACACATATATATATATATATAAATATAGATAATATGTGAATAACAAAATAAATATGTCTACATACACACACATGCCCTATAAGAATATATATATATATATATCTACATACATATATATACATAAAGATATATATATATATATATATATATATACATATATACATATATGCACATCAAATCAAGTACAGAGCATTACATATTTCTATATACACTATCTATTCCATTTTGTATATTTTCTGCTTATTTGTTGCTTGAGAGTTGCTTTTGTCTGTTGGCTGTTGTTTGGTAATACATGCTGGGGCCCCTGCTTAAGATGGGTTTACAGTTGGGTTACACCGACACTTGCTGCATATATACACGCATACAGTTGTATATACCTATATAGATATATACATATACATGATATACATCTGTCTGCTTATATATATGTATGTATCTCTCTCTCTCCAATGGCATTCGTTTCGTTCCCCTTATCGCCTCCCAGCCAGCACATATTCCACTCCGACTTGCTTTTTACATATATATATATATATATATATGTATATATATACCTATATATATATGTATAGACCTTTCTTGCTCTAGTTAATTTTTTTGATTGGGCCAGCCTGCTGTTGACCCGTTTAACATTTATATCTAGTTACAGTTAAGATGACTTTGGCCGCTTGCTTTTCCTTTTGCTTTTACTTTTGCTTTTTCGTTTGCTTTTGCTGTTGCTGTTGCTGTTGCTTTGAACACTTGTCGCCATCGTCTTTTTGTTTTTATTTTTTATTGCATTTCCGGTTAGCGTCGATTTCTCGTCTATGATGATTTGTTGTCGCGGTGCTTTCAGCTGCTTCTAGTTGGCCACCAGCAGCTGCTGATAGGTGGAGCCGCTGCCATAGAACGAGCTGAGCCCATCGATCAGTTTGCTATTATTGCTATTGTTGCTAGTATTGCTGGCAGCTGCCGTGTTGCTGCTGTCCGGCTGATTGTTGGCCGCCGTAGCCGATGGGGCTGCTGTTGCTGCGAGGCTGGCGGACGATACGCCTGGCTGAGGGATGTTGTTGGTGTTGTTGTTGCTGTTGTTGCTGCTGCTGCTGTTACTGTCGCTGCTGCTGTTGGCCACGTTGCCGGCAATGCCAGCTGTGGGCGTGGCTATTGGACTATTATCGGTGGACGATTCGCCAGTAGCGACGCCAACAGCTGAATTGGGCGACTCCTCGATGCCAACGATGACGCTGCAATCCGTATCCAGGCCGAAGCAGCTATCGCTGCTGTTGGCATGCTCCAAATGCTGTTGCTGCTGTTGCTGTTGCTGTTGCTGTTGCTGCTGAAGATGATGATGATGTTGCTGCTGTTGGTGGTGCTGCTGCTGCTGATTGATCATAGTGGCGCCTGCGGCATTGGCATTCACATTGACATGTCCATTGCTAAAGTAACACGGTTCCAGGTAAGTACTGAAGCTATTGCTGCCAGCAGCAGCTGCTCCTCCATTGTTGGCGACTGCTGCAGCTGCTGCTGCTGCTGCGGCGGCGGCGGCGGCTGCTGCTGCTGCTGTTGCTCCACCTGCAGCTCCAAACAGTCCGAGATTGCCAGAATCCGCATTAAAATGATTCTCGTATAGGCCACGCTGTCCATTGTATTGCGGATACAGGCCCATCGAAATGTTTGAATAGTAAAATGGATCGGCTGCAGTTGGTGGTGCGACGTTCGGTGCGTTGCCCTGATTGCCAGCCAAGGTCAGGGGATTCGGCGAGAGGGAGCGAGCGGGCGATACGGCATCCAGGCCACCGAATGCCGATGCCGAGGAGCCGCCAACGGTGTGGCCATGGTGCATCTGCTGCTGCATCGCACGCTGTTTGATATAGTTGGAGAACTCAGTGGGCGACATGCGATACGAGCTGCTGTACGAGATGAACGAATCAATTAATGCACATATACATATATATATACTCTATCCATCAGTCTCTCCTACCTGTTGGTACGCTTGGAGCTAGTCTTCAGTTTGGTGCTGCCGAACTTCGTCTGGGCAAAGGTGGCCGTGGTGAATGTGAGCGGTGCCTGGGCGGCGCGCTGCACAAAGCCCGCGCCACCGGCGGTGGCTGTAGCATTGGCTGTGGCTGCATTGCTGCTGCTGCTGCCCGAGAGACTTCCGCCACCGTTGGAGCCAGCAGCAGCGGCACCGCCACCGCCACCGGCGCCGCTGCCGCCGCCATTGGGATTCGGGCTGCCCTTGTAGGTGGGCGAGCCACTCGAGGCGGCCGAGTGTGGCGACGAGCCGGACGACGGCAATGGCAGCGGCAGCGGCAATGGCAATGGCAGCGGCAACGGCAATGGCAATGCCTTGGGACTTAAGCTCAGGTTATTCATGGTCGTGTTGACCACATCGATGGGACGGAAGCACTGAGCCTCCGGATTGAACGTTTTGGTAACTTCACGATCGGCCGAATGGCTGTCCTCGGGATTATCATTGTTCTCCGTATAGAGTATCTGAAAGGGAAATACCATTACTTATTAAGAGAGAAACAGACAGACAGAGAGAGAGAGAGTGTCTCACCTTAACAGCGCCCTTTTCGCCTATGCGATAGGACACCTCGCCGGGATCCACCCAGACGGACAGCTCGTTGGGCAAATTCTCAAGTATATCGGTTATGGGTACGCCGCTCTCGCGCGCCGCACGAGCCAGCACCGAATCAATGGGATCGCCAGTTTTGAGACAGCGGTACGCCGAGCCCTATAAAGGAGAAATATTAATTATATATGATATATGATAATAATATATGATATATGATATATGATAGATGATAGATGATAGACGATAGATGATAGATGATAGATTATAGATGATAGATGATAGATGATAGATGATAGATGATAGATTATAGATGATAGATGATAGATGATAGATGATAGATTATAGATTATAGATGATAGATGATAGATGATAGATGATAGACGATAGATGATAGATGACAGATTATAGATGATAGATGATAGATGATAGATTATAGATTATAGATTATAGATTATAGATGATAGATGATAGATGATAGATGATAGATGATAGATGATAGATGATAGATGATAGATGATAGATGATAGATGATAGATGATAGATGATAAATGATAGATGATAAATGATAGATGATAGATGATAGATGATGAATGATGGATGATGGATGATGGATGATGGATGATAGATGATAGATTATAGATTATAGATTATAGATTATAGATTATAGATTATAGATTATAGATTATAGATTATAGATTATAGATTATAGATTATAGATTATAGATTATAGATGATAGATGATAGATGATAGATGATAGATGATAGATGATAGATGATAGATTATAGATTATATGGATGGATATATGATGGATGATAGATGATAGATAATAGATGATAGACGATGAATGATGGCTGTTAATTATCTTTTTAAACTCACCTTGAAAGGCTTCTCTGGGTACCAGTGTCCTTGGAACTTGTCGCGCAACGCCTTCTCTAGTTCCTCCCCGAATATGTTCACACGACGTCTCGGCAATTTGTTGTACAGATACGAAATGACAAAATTCAACGCCACTTGTATTTCAATATGCATTTTGATGGCCGCCCCCAGACTCCGCAAGCTTGTTGTTGTTACACGATCGACGTTTGATCTACTATATATATATGCATTTATAAATATATATACATAAAGGTATATATATATATATATTTACAAGCTATATATATGTATATAGTTGTATAACATATATATAGAGATATTTATGTAACTCTCTCTCTCTGCCTCTCTTCAGACAAAATTCAAATTTGCAACAAAAAAAAAAAAATAAAAAAAATTTGTTTAACAATAATTTTTTTTCTCCTTATGCGGGGCAGTTAATGTATTTAATTTATGCAACGGTTCACTTATTAACTTAAATTTGGAATTTTTTTATTTTGGTTTTTTGCGTTTTTCTTTAATTTATTAATTTATTTTTATTGATTTATTTTATTTATTTATTATTATTTTTTTTTTTTTCGAATAACGTTTGGGTTTTTGGCTTTCTGTTAATAATTTTTCTTCTTCTTCTTGATCTGCTTTTGTCTTTTGTTCTTGTTTGTGCCGCGCGTGTGTGTGTGTGCGTGTATGCGTGAGTAATTTGTTGACTTTTTTTTTTGTATTTTTTTGTTGTTTTTGCTTATGTCCAATGTATGTTTTCTGTTGTTGTGTATTGCACGCTGTAGTGAATATATTTATCAAACTGTTTCTCTGTGTCAAACGAGATTTGTGTGCTTTATTTTGGTTTACTAAGTGTTCCCCATTCAGTTGACGTATCGAGCATTGCTAACTAGATCTCAATATATATGCATTTATATATATATATATACATGTATGTATGTATGTATGTATGTGACTTCTGTATACCTTAAATATACATATTTGCTTATATATCTCTATGCTTGTATAGTATATTTATCTACATCTATATGTTTTGGTTGTCTATTGCTCTTGGTAGTAGTCTATTGTCTTTGACTATATTCTCTCTCTCTCTTTCTCTCTCCCTCTCTGTGTGTGCTCACAGCGATGTGCAGTGCTCATAAGAATTATATGTTTTATATTTTATGTACCTGGAAATAAAAGATAAAAATATAAATTAAATTTGTTGAACATATTGAATACATAAATAGTATATAGCAATTGTGAAAAATATAGCGAAGCATCTATACCATTGTAAATATTATTAAAACTATTATCTTAATTGATATCTTAGCAATCAAATGGATTTCCTCCCTCGGCAAATGCAAAAAAGAAACATTGAAAATTTCCTTTCGCCTTCTTAAAAATTCCATTTACATCAAAGCAATCGATTCTTTTGATGTATATTTTAGATAATCCTTTAATTTGTTGTACACTCATGGTAACAATGAAATTTCCTTAAACAAAACACAGAATAAAAAAAAAAAAGCACACACACACACACAAAAAAACGAATAAAACAAGAAATACCAAAAAACACATTAAAACAATAAAAACTAGAAAAAAAATAAATATAAAAATTTTCGGGAAGTTTACGTATTGATCAAAATGCAATCTAAAAAACGCGATACTGACGAAAAGCAACTGCGCAAGAAAAATTTTCGATTGCGCTTTAAGAAATTGGTGTTAACTGTGATGCTGAATCAGCAATGGATGGATGAACCCGAGGAGCAGGGCATCGTAATGAATGCTAAGAAGAATGTTGCATTTCTCATCAGGCAGAAGCGCAAGACCGGTGTGCTGACAGTTGCGGTAAATATGTTCGGCTTACGATATCTACGATATTCCTTTTACGATATTCCTTTTACGATATTCGATTTACGATATTCCTTTTACGATATATGATTTACGGTATTCGTTTTGTGATATACGACTTACGATATTCGGTTTAACGATATTCATTTCACAATATATACTACTTAAGATCTCTTAAATACGTATCTCCTATTTGCTTTTTTGTTTGATAGGAAAAATCATTGCTGCGAACTCCCCATGCGAACCGCACTGTAGAGGAGCGTAAGAAACTCTGCCTGATTGTAGCTGCTCTGCCGTGCTTCTCAAATTTTCCTCCAGTAAGTGTTTGCCTAGTAGCATATCGATATACCAGTTACCAGTACAAAGTGCGCCTACAGAAACTACGAGTCCGGCTAATACCGTATTTAAAGTTCGCCAACTATGGAGAAGATCGAATGTTAATACGACAAAATGATGTACCGATTACGGTTTACTTCATGATATCTGGCGAGGTTGAAATGAGGAAAAACATCTACGATAAGGTGTGTCCATAATAAGTATGCATTGCAAAACAGCTGAGCAATAAATTATCATATATTTCTCTTTATATTCCTATCTATATCTATAAATTTGTCCTAATATTCGTATAGGTGTTTCTTTTTTCTCTCATTCTATTGACTAACTTTCTCTCCCTCTCCTGTTTTCCATGCCTTCGATCTCACTCTCTATCTCCTTCTTTCTCCAGTTCTTTATTTACATCTTTTCTTTTATTAATTTTCCCTCGTTTGATCTTCTCACTACCGTTTTCTTTCCCTTGTCATCTGCCCTCTTCTCTGTCACCCTCTGAAACCTTTCGCTTCTTTCTTCACCTTCTTCACGTGTCACCTTCCGTGTCCTTTCCTTTTCTATTCTACCCTATCTTTCTCTCTCCATCTTTATCCTATCTCCCTTACTGTACCACATTTCTATCACTACCCATATATATTTCCATATCTCTTAATCTCATCCCACCAGTCTCTTTAACTAAGAGAGATGGAGAGAGAAAGAGAGAGAGCGGGAAAGCTTACATAGCTTGACATTCAAAGTAAATCCCTTGACCCGGCAAACATTCAGGGTCATTCTAGGATTTTCTGACTGTAATTATCTCACAATAATTTACGTTTACTAGGCCACAAAGAAAGTGACCATGGTCTCCGAGGCAATTGTGGGCGTGGGCGATGTCATAGGCGACGTGGCAATGCTCGAGGACTGCCTGCGACTGAACACTTATGTAACGCTAAGTAAGTGCTGAGACTCGGAAATGGCAACGATGATAAAATCTCAGACTAAACGCCCATTTCTATTTCGTAGCGCCCTGTGAGGTTCTCTACATAACCGACGATGAGTTCAGAAGTGTTTTGGGTAAATTCATGAGAAAACAATGGCAGCAAAAAAAAGCGGCAATACGCTCGTTAAACTATTTCAATTATTTCAATGAAGACCAGGTTACGAATATAAATTATATATATAATCAGATATATGTATGTGATATGTATGAATATATGTTTCAGGTTGTGCGAGCATGCGCCTATTGCCAGCTGGAGCAGTATGATCCACTGCACTCGATCTATTCGGAGGACAGGGGAGCTGTCAGCTGTGTTCACTTCATATTGAGCGGCGAGTGCGTTGTCTTACAGTGCCTTAAAGTGATCGTGAGTACAGATGCGAGTGTATATAGTATATATATATATTCCTCTCTATTCTATCTGTTGGATAACAATATTGTTTTTGCCATGTCACGCGGTTAGCGAGTCATCAAATCGGATGGCACAAGAACGTATGAATTGGTCGCTGTTAAGGAGAAGGAACAGGATATTTTTGTCAATCCAACAAAATCGGCCCGATCATTCAATAGCTCATTCCTCGACGAAGCCCAAAGGAAGGATAAACATTTATCTGAATCGGAGTTCAATCTCGCTGATCTACTGGCATCGTCATCGGACCTCAACGACGAGGAGTCTAGACTGCAAAGAAAAGCGGTATTGATGTCTTATTTCGAGTTATTGAACTCATCGTTGCATCTAAATTGATTATACAATTGCAGAAGCGTAAAACGGGTCTGCGAGAAATTGAAATTGCTTGTGGACTTGCCACTGGCACCTCAGTGAATACAAGTAAAAAGAAGTTACGCGGCTCCTCCAGGCGAATAACAACAATGAAATTCAAGCATTCAATGAGTAATATTTGGAAAGTGGACTTCGAGGACGACGAAGAGGATATGGTTGTCTTTATTGAAGAGGATGATGATAAGTCACTCAAGGACGAAAGCGAAAGCCAAAAGAAAAGCGATCATAATTCCATCCTTCCGAATAGCTCAACAACAAAATTATCCAAAACTTCCTTGATAGTGGATAAACAGCCATCGAGCGAGGTGGAACTCGCCACGACCGTAATCGGTCCCAAGCTGAGCAGGACCAAGAACGTAACTGTTGTCGGTGCAGATGGAACCATTGCAGATGCATCGGCTTCAGGCGATTCAGACGATAGCTCAAGCTCGCTGCTGGGACTTCATATCCGCCATGAGAAGAGGAGTTTAGCAAATCTGGTTAGTTAGACTTAATCTAGGATAACAGCTCAGCTACTTATATTTATTTGAAAACAATCTTTTTTTTTTTTTTTTTTTGTTTTTGATAGCCCACAGAGACGCATTTCATAGACGTCGGCTCCTTGACCTATGGCGGTATCTTTGGCCTGGGCGAAAAAATCACCCATCGTGTCATAATGGCCCGCACCGTGGTGCAATGTCTGCTGTTGCCTCGCTATTGGCTCATGGCCGCGGAACAGAATCCGGGCCATATCTGGTTGCGACGCAAATTCTCGCTGGAAACGAATATACCGTCGCGCGAGGATCTGTTCGATCATTTCCTGAAGACGCGCCGCTGGGAGAAATTCAAGCGAGACTATGTGCAGAGCACATTGATTGAGACTAACACTAATGGTACACATCCAGAAGATATACCCATTATCTGTCGCATTGTTGAGACCACAGATGATATTTAATGCAAATCGGATGGACTTCGGTCAATCAAATTCTATGTGTGTGTGCTCAGAAGACGGTCAAGTAAATATCAGATATTCAATTTAGTGTAAAATTATGCATAGTGCTCCATTTTGGAGCACCAAGAAATTGACGGTTCTATGTGAAATCCAGTCCGATGCAATAAATGTACTAAATTTCCTGACCAAACGACTTTTCCTAAGTGAAACAGTTATAAAATCGTTAGGTCTACATCATCGCGGCGAATGCATTTAAAATGTTAAAATCAAGAAATGAATTCAATATCCTGACTACGTTACGTCTAAAATTTCCTGACTATAGGCATTTTTGTTCATAAGGGAAACCGTTAAAGTCCTCATTTTATTTACTATAAATCAATTCAAATTCTGGATTCTGCTTAAAGCCAATCAATTGACTAATTAAGTCTTTGTTATTTCTCACGCTAATTGCCCGTCCCCGGTTTCTTCCATTCAATGAATATTTTAAAAGCTCATAAAAAACGGCCTCTACTTGCACTTATGTATATATACACACACACACACACACACACGGATAGCTAGCTACGTCATTCAGTTGCAGACAAGTGCCCAATACACTGCACCTAAATGTCAGCCGCGAATATAGGTTAACCATGGTCATCCCAAAGAGAGCAGCAAAAAACTAGTCCAGGCGAGAGCGAAAGCCGAACTGCATGTTCGTAATTGGGGCAAAGACGAGAGCGAACACCGAAAGAGCAAAGAACAAATAGCGAATGTTGTTGTTGTTGCTCCTTTTTTCTTTTTTGTTGCTCGGCTGCAGTTCATAATTGGAGCAGCGACGTATACGGACGAAAGAGCAAAGAGCAAAAGCTACGGTTGTTGTCGTTGTTGTTGCTGTTGTTCTTGTTGCTCAAATTGCTTGTGCGTATGCGCAATGACATTTAAAGCGCTACACATACACAAGCACACCGATATGCATGGCGATACATATACACATGTATTTATACAAGTGCATGTACAGCTTAATCGCGCTTTTGCAGCTGTGTTAAATGCATTGATATATGTATGTATATTTAGCAGCACAGCTGTATGTATGTATTCGGATATATGTACTTATGTGCGTTTGCAAGTCTGCGCTCTGGCTGAAGGCCGTACGACTCAAAGCTCAGCGCTATGGGAAACTTAGCTTAATAATAGCCACGCACACACACACACAATTACACAGACGAAGGCGAGCCAAAGGCAAGCATGGTAAACATCGATGCGCGAATACCCTATGATATTTAATGATATGAAAAACCGTCAGAAAATCAGTAAATTATGAAGTTGTATATAATAAATTGTACAAGTTTCAACTTAACGAATTTTTCCTTATCAATACTCAGCTATGGCATGTGTGCATGTATGTATATATGTATTATATATAACTGAAATCACTTACGTGATATCTTATTAGCGATAAGAGCCAATTATAATTACTTATAGATTACTCATTGCTGAAGTGGTGCTTCAGGAAATACTTTATATGATTACAAATTTTCAATTGTACATAGCATACTAATAGATACATGTGTGCTTATGAATTATAAAATTTATATTATTGTATATATTTCATATATGTAGATATATTGCATACTCAATGATCTAAGTCTATGATTAAGCTGAAGAAAAGCTACTGACATATTAATAGATGTTACAAGTACTAGAAGTATATGCGAAAATTTCTTCCAAGAGAGCTTAATTCCAGCTTAACATTTAGCTAGAACAGAAATAGGGTACAGCATACATACATATGTACATATGTATGTACTTATGTACAAATATTACACTTTGCATGTGTTTATATGTATCTATGAATAGGCTTGCTTGCTTGTGTATGTGTGTGAATTTGTGTGAACTTGAAAAAGCTCAATTTTCACTTTTATGGACATGTAGGTACATGTCGCTACATAAGATGCAGACAAATCTCCTTGGCGTAGTGCAATACAGAGAGTTGCCAGATGGTCGTAATTAATAAAGCCCCTCTGGGTAGGCAACATCCGGATGTTGACAGCTCATTATTGTTTATTTATATACTGAGATACACACGCACACACACAGACACATACCTCCCCCAATGTATGATAAGGTGTGTCTGTGTGTGTATGTACTCTATGCATGTGTGCAGAGTTAGGTCAAAGTGGCATCGCCATACCTTTTAAATCAACCTTTAAAACTGGTGGCCCAGATTTTATTGATTTTTATTGTGTGGCAAAGAGCAGCCGACAACGGCAACGGCAACGGCGATGGCGACAACGACGACGACGACGACGACGTTGACGCCGCTGAAAGAGTGCGACAAGGAGAGCGAGAGCGAGAGAGCGACGGCTGAGAGCTGAGCGAGCGAGGCGCAGATGTTGTTGTGTTTACTTTTACATGGCATTTAATGCTGGCTGGAAGCGTGTTCATCATCATCAACAACATCATCATCATCCATGGAGGGATGCTTGCTGGGTGGGGGTGGGCGGCTTCCTTTTGGTTTCTTGATGATAATTATCTGCTTGGTTGCTGTGTGCAACAAATTGTCAAAATGCTTTTGAATGTCCAAATATACTTCAAGCGAAATGTATTTATAGACCCAACGGACTTCAAAGCTATGTATGCATGTAACCATATACAGTGAAAGCTCTGTTGAGCGGACACCCATACTACCATATATACATACATACATGCATACATTATATGCACATATACATACACACACATTTGTCTTCTATCTGTGAAATAAGAAAGAGATTTAGCACAGCGGCTTAGAAATTGAAATTTCCAATGCCAGCTTATTCTAGTTTCTATGGATTTATTTATTATTTCTTTTTGCGAGTTGAAAAGGAATTATTCTCGTTTGTTGATTTTTCCTGCCAATAATTGCATCAAATACGAAAGCAATAAAAGAAATAGATTGAAGATAAAAAGTAATATCCGTGTAACGGAACTTGTTCGTCAATTGAGCTTTCACTGTATCTGCTGGCATAGCAAAAGCCTTCCCCCCCTTTGGTCATATGATGGGTTGGTTTTCAAGGAAAAGGTTCCCCATGACCGAACTCAAAGTTCCCATCATTTTATCAGCTTATCTTTTCAATTAAATTGTTAAGTTTTTTCATGGGCCATAAAAAAAAACAAAAAACAAAAAAACAAAAACAAAAAACAAAAAACAAACAAAAAAAAATTATTAATGAAATGCTTGTAAATGAAAAATTAATTAATTAAAAGTTCAAATCTTTCATAAAACAAATTCAATTAATTTAATTGAAAATACATTTTTGTTGGATCCACATTTGTTTTAAGGTTTCAATTTATTGAGAGCCTTGAATGGAAATTTCATTTAATAATATAATTCCCATGTCTTTCCCTTGCAATTCTCTCATTTCTTTGCTGTTTTTATGCTGTTTTATTTTTATACCCTGTAGGCATTAAAAATGTATAAGAAAGGCTATGATCATTCCGAGACATTTTTGCTATATTATATATGCTCTTGTAGTATATCTCCTTATATATTGGTGCGATAATAATTATATAATAATTATATAAATATATATTATATTATATCAGACGTTCAATATATATCGAATATTTATGTATAGTAACTGCATACAGGGTATTGACTAGCTGATCATTGACTTCGATTCTTGTTTGCGTAATTTGTTGTTGTTCTTGTTGGTGGTCTAGAAACTTTTACAGCATTACCGTTATGTGGCATATAGCATATTGTGGCGTAGGGCACGACAAAGTGCTTTCAAATGGGTTGGCTTTGGAATTGCGTGATATTATGGCATTGTTCGTGCAGTCAATTAAAAGTGTTAGAGTTTGTTGTTGTCATTGTCATTGTTGTTGTTATGTTTGTTGTTGTTGCTGCCGTTGTCATTGCCGTTGCTTTCTGGTTTCTTCAATTAGATAGCTTTAAGTTAATTAACTCTTAAGCCGTCGATTATGAATACGCCGTGATAATGGGAAGGTAAGGCAAGGCATATGCCACACTCCTATCGCTAGATGTCTACGGATCTAAATATCTGAGTGGCCTTCGGATAGCTTGTTTGTCGATAATTAGAGCGTACGTAAAACCATATTGGTATATACATACATATGTACATACATACATACATACATACATACATACATACATATGTATATGCACTATACAGACTAATGACTATGTATGTTGTAAGCTTGCATGTCTGTATATAAAGTGGGAGGACGTATTTCTTGTTGTTGTTGCCTTTTCTGTTTTGTTATTCTTGTTTGTTTCTTTATGCTGCCAATAATATGTGTAATCCAGTTCACATGTCAGTGTCAGAAAGAGTTGTTGTTGTTGTTGTTACATCACGCTGACTATGCACGTATGTGCATATATACATATGTATGTATGCGTGTGTGTTTGCACAGTTGTTATTGCAGTATTGAACAACTGTTCGAATTCCCTTGCCCTAACTGTTCTTCTGCAGCTGACACTAAACTCTCAACAGAGAGCAATTGGCGATTACATAAATACAAATAAATGGCAAATGTGATGTACTAATACCAACATACATATGCATATACATATGTATGTATATTTATATTTACTTATGCATGTATGTGTGCATTTGTGCAGCTGATTTTTTTGTTCATTTAGCTTGCCAATAAATTTCACTGTTTTTGTTTTTCAACCTTTTCGTTGTTTATCTTTAGCGTTGCACTTTCGCATTTACATATTTTACATGACTTTTATATGCATGTCTAAGTACATACATATGTGTATGTGTGTGTTAATTTTCACTTACACCAAAGAAAAAGAAACAGTTAAGCGTAAGCCTTTTTTCTATTCATTGCATAATTCCTTTTAGGTTATTCGCTGTTTAGCACATCTTTAAAAATTGAGTGGACACAGAGCACACACACACACACATTCATACAGCTACATTCACACACACACGCGCGCGCGCACATAAGCACCTGATCGTGTACTTAATATTATAAAATCGTAAATACACTAAATTATTTTTCACTAGATATGATGGGAAATATTTTTCACTGACTCGTCTCAACATTGAGCAGCGTTTGCCTCTCATTTGCCCCCGAAGAGCATGTACCACACTAACACAAATGCAAAGGCGGGCAGGCACGCACACATACACCCTAAGAGAGGCGTAAGCTACGACAGCTCACGCTGCTCTGCTCCCACTTACGCATTCTCACAAGCGGCTGTCGCTTATTTACGTTTTGCTGTATTTTCTGTAAAGCTCTCTACCCCGCCGCTCTCTCCTACATCTGGCAGGAGTAACGGCAACATCGTCATCATCAGCAGGCAGGCAAAAAATTTGCTGAAGACAATTTGGCATAACAACACAAAACAGCTGACAGCCTTTGCATGTGTTTACATCTGCGTGCGTGCGTATAATATGGCAGTATCTGTGTCTGTGCCTGTGTGTGTCTGGCTGTGTGCGTGTTCTGTATGTGCTTTTGAGCATATTTTGTTCAGAGCTTTACCACTGTGTCTCCGTAAATTTCTATCAATTTGCCACAATTAAAATGGTTTTGCTCGTACAATTTTGTTATTATTATCGCAGCTTGTTGTTGTCAATAACAAAATGCACGCACGTTATTATTGGCAAATATCGTATTGGAAAACAGCTGATGTTATTCAACATTAAATACAATGGGAACTGTTCGCTGCTGCTAATTTTGTCTGCTTTTGTGTGCTTACATACATACACACAATAAACATGCACACATACATATGTATGTACATGTGTGCGTATATGTGTAGGTACGAATGTACCTACTATAAGTGACAGCAAAACTAAAGCACATGATTTTTTATCTCTGCACACATGAAAATTGAAATGACAAATACGTAAATATGAACAACTGTAGATATGTAGTTATGTATATCTGAACATATGTATATATGTATCGCATCTAACATTTGTAGAGATATTTATGCATAAATCGTATACGAATTTATATACATACATACATTCGTACGCTGTGCATAAATACATGCATACATACGTATGTATACGTATGTACATATATATCTATGCATGTTAAATGACGTTTGTACACATACACATATACACTCAAGCTCACATGCATTCCGATACATGCTTATCCCCGTACATGTGTATGTAGGTACACATATTTACAAAAATTTTCAACACTGTCAAGCCACTAAAACGGATTTGTGGTTGATCGAAATCGAATCGAATACATAATAAGAGGAGTATTTAGCATTTAGTTTTCTGGTGCAGAAACATGTGTAGGATATGTACGCACGTACATATGTACATATATATGCATGTACGTATGTATGTACCTATTTACGTGTAGCTCGTCGAGTCTCGTAGCAGCTAACAGCTGAGTGCAGACTATGACGACAAATTGCTGCCAGAAACGAGAGCAGGCCATAAGTGAGCGGGAGAGCATGAGAGGACGCACTTGTTTTATTCATTTGATTTTCAATATGTACGTATGCATGTGTGTAGGTGTAGGTGTTGCTGTTGGTGTGTGTGTGTGTGTGTGTTTGTGTGCTGCTGCGCACGGGAAACAAATACGTAAAAAATAACTTAGAGGCAACAACAGCACTTGGCTGATGGAACGTGTCCGCATTCATTTTGGCTCGAGGGGTTGCGCGGGATGTTGAGTGATGATGCGACTGAGAGTTGTGTTGAGTTGCGGGGGAGGGGGAAAGCGACAGCCTCAACAGCTGGCCGAAGCACGAACACGAGCTCCACTGGCCTACTGAGCGATAACGAAAACGAAATGGAGTCAAATCGGCAACTGATTCTGCTACAACGGGACAGGGGCAAGGAGAGCGACAGGGACAGGGACATTCGGACTCGAAATTTGTGTACTCTATGTATCTCAATGCGTTTTGTTGTCGTTTTCTAGTTATCGCACACTGTCTATGTAGTGCACATGTATATGTACGTATGTATTTATATACAAGTATCTTTCACATTTACACACATCGTATGTGCATTTGTAATGCAAATTACAGTTACTTAAGAAAAAAAAATACATAAAAAAAAATATGTACTATGTGTGAGAGAAGAACGACAAACCTAACATTTAAATTTAGATTTGGATATCACAACACAATATTTGATGTATTTATTTGAGCATATACCAAATGTATTTATTATGTTGAATGACGGCTGTTGTTGTTGCTGCTGTTGCTATTATTGTTGTTGCTGTTGTTGTTGTTGTTGTTGTCGTCGTTGTTTATTACGATGGGCGAGAGTTGTCGAGTTGTGTAATACGGTTTAGTTATTATATTTGCATTGCTATTGTTCTATGTACATATATTTAAGTTAATTTTTTTTCCTAAATTTAATACCTAATTTGTTTTATTTTATTTTTATTTTTATTTTTTTTTTCGTGTGTTGTGTTTTTTTATTGTAATTTTTGTAAAACGCTCTGTCCCGTTACTTAATTGCAGCGCGCGCTACCAACGCCGTGTAGAACGTCCGTAGGTCTTGAAATCGTTGTAGTAACTGAAATGAAACTGAATTGACGCGCGAACGCGAAACTCAGTCAGCCAGCAACAAACAAATACGCGCTTGTACAACACCCACCCACACACTCATGCTACGCACTCCCAGCACACACATACACACAGGCAAACACTGGCACAATTGCATTTCTAACGATGTGCACACGATGTTCGTGCCTTTAACGAACTAGCCACACGAACGTTTGCAGTGCTCTAAGCTGTTCTCGTGCTCACACACTCTCTTCTCTCTCGCTCGCTCTCTCTCAGTTATTGTGCTTTTTCCTGACAGCTACGATGGCTAAATTTGTTTTATCATCATAATATTGTGTGCTTTTGTTGTATACGCACACACACACACACACACACACATACATACACACGCCTGCATGCATAACGCTCTGTATATGTGTATGTTGAAAGCTTAGGGACGTAGTAAAAAAATAGAACTGTAAGCGTAGGACAACCCCAACACAACGAACGTTTTGTACCTAGGGAACTTTCTCACAGAAAAGAAAGTGCATACATAACACGCACGCACACACACACACACACACACGTATATACATACTACATACATATAGTTGACATACAAAAATGTCCTGAAAAGGACAAACGCTTATGCTACTCTATATATATGTATATGTATAAATATATTTATATACATTTGTATGTGTGTCACATAGTCCTGCCCCTTCTATGCATATACATATAAATAGATTTTCACATTTTACATAATAAGATTGAAGTTTAACTTCGTTTCGTGTGCTTTGGATAGGTTTATTTATTTATCATCGTCAGAAAGGTACATACATACACAAACACACATATATGTAGATCCATTTATATATAATATATATGTATATATATTCTGTATAAGGAATTACATGCATACAAAAATATTTATATGAATTGGCTTCCAAGGAATATCTAGTATGGTACAATAATTTAATATTATAACCTAAGACAAAAAAAAATATGTATATATAATAATAATAATAAAAAAAAAAAAAACATACACAATTATCATAGTAGTAGTGTGTAGGTGTATATATCACAAATATGTATATTTTATTTTAAGCCGAAAAAAAAAATTGTGTTGATTGATAAAGGAAGAGCCCAATTACATTCAATGTGGAATTAAATTAGGTTTACCTTAGAATCGATCTAGTATATCATAATATATATTTCATTTATTTCTCTGCTTCTGTTTCGTCTCGTTATTATTCTTTATATTTAAGGTTCTTACATCAAATAGCGCATTTATGGTTTGTCATAGGATAAGAGACAAATACATACATACATACAATATACATATACATATATATATATAAGCACATAGTACATTTGATGTCTGTAGATCGAGATATTCTATATAACGTCGTAATAGTACCAACAACTAGACAAAAATCCAATTACTTAAACTTATAGGTTTGGGTTCATAATATGCGAACAATCAGAACAGACCCCCCCATACCCTGTCGTATACCCACTCTAAGAGGGCAGTCCTGAAAACTTGACACACTAGCCAAAAATTGTCAACTTTTTAGACTGCCCTCGCCCTATGCCCTTGCCCCCATCTGCCCATGACTCCTCCGCCTTGCCTTAACGTCGCGTCTCGCTGGAGCGGATCTGCTCCCGACCGCCGCCGCGCTCGATGAACCAATTGTTGTTGCGCTTCTTCTCGTGACGCTGGCGTGCGTGCTCACGATGTTGCATCATGCGCTCGTGCCACTCGCCGCTGGCGCTGTCATCGTCATCATCATGGCGCTGCTTCCTGCCGTGCTGCTGCTCCTTGGAGTTGCCCAGATGCTTGCGATAGCGGCGTTCCTTCGAGTTGTACTTGTGCTCCTTGGAATCATACTTCTGCTCCTTGGAGTCCTGCCACTTTGCGTTGTTGTTGTATTTGGTCTTGTAGCGTTCCTTCGATGCATCTGTATTGGGATAGCGTTGCTTGTTGGTCTCGAGGGGCGGTGCTCGCATTTTGTCGCCATGCACATGGAAAGCTTTGGATGGATCGCTGGCACCGACATTCGGTGCGGGCGTGGGTGTGGATGTGGGCGTTTCGTCCTCGCCAGCGAGTGTGCCTAGCAGCTCGGTGACCTTTTCAAAGTCGTGAAAAGCTTGAGATTGCCGCAGCACATCGTTCACCGCATCACCAATCTCATCGGCTAGAGATTCGGCATGCGGTTTTGCTTCCATGCACATGGCGGCGATTTCCACATAGTTGCCATCGGGGCACTTGTACGGGCGCTTCAGGTCCGCCTTGGTAATGACCACAGGATCCACAGAGTCGCCGTTGCCGGACCAGGCCTTGAATGTTTTCGGCTTGCGCGGCTGAGCCTGGGCCTGACCGTGTCCATGACCCTTTCCCTGTCCCTGTCCCTGACCCTGGCCCGGACCGTGACCCTGTCCAGCTATGGAGCTAAGATATAGCAGCTGCTTGGACATGATATCAATCTCGGCGCGCATCAGATTATTCTGCAGCTCCAGATCGAGCAGCCGCTGATCCAGATCCGGAATGGCCTCATTGCTGCTGAACACCTTCCACTCGGGATTACGCAGTCGGCCAATAAGTGCCAGCACGGCCAAAGTGGCGCCCACATAGAAGATGGCGGTCAATCCGTTATGCATCAGCGGCGGCATACGATAGCGACGTTGCACAGCTGTCGACGGTGCTGCTGGCTGTGCTGCTGGCTGCGGTGCATTATTCAGCTGCAGGGCTGGGCGTGGGTCACGGCGACGTCGTTCACGCATCTCCTGGGCAGCATTCAGATCTGGCATATTGCCCAGCAGCGGCACTTCATGGCCCGCATCGAACTTGAAGCTCAGCTCGTTGAGATGCTCGCGCAGAAAGGGATGCGGCGAAATGCGTCCAGTGCTCTCGCAGTCACTGATTATCGAGATGCCATCGGAGACGTCCTCGGCCTGGGTGTCTGCATCCTCGACGAGCGTGCTTCTATAGGTGTAAAGAATATATATAGATATATATTTATTTATTGTATCTCTCTGGCTCTCTCCCCTTGCACTTACTCTGCATTGCTTTGCTCGTCCTCCTTTGCCTCTTCCGCTGGCTTTGCTTGCTGTCCCAACTCCTCGCTGCTGCTGCTTGGCTCAAGTACCTCGACTCTATCTGGTGGTAAGATCGTCCACGATGACGATGTACTAATGGGTAGCGTCTGCTCCGGTGCTTTGGTTATGTTGCTGTTGCTTTTATTGCTGTCGCTGCTGCCGCTGCTGCTGTTGCTCTGATCGTCCATGATAATGCTGCTGCTACTGCTGCTGCTGCTGCTCTTGCTCTGCTCCTCATCCATGCTGCGTCGTCGTTGTCTGGTCGGTCTGGGCTGTTGGCCTCTTTGTCTGAAAAATGCATACAAGAAACAGAATAAGTCAAAGATATTTTCGTATTGACCTTCGTGGCGCTCGAGAATTATAGCTAGCCAATGGCCAATGGCCAGTGGCGTCACTAGCCACGGCCTCTGCTCAACAGTGCTGGCAAACCTGTGAGTTTATAGCTAAATTTCGCTGTGTCTTGCGCAAATTACTTTAACGTCTTTTGGCTTTGTTTATTTATCAAACAAATATTTGCAAATAATTTATTATTCTTTATGCGAATATTTGTTAAATGAATTGCAATCTTAGCGTGAATACTATTTTTTTTTTTCTTTTTTTGTAATATATTTTTCACATATTTTTGTCGACAATTTCTATTTTTGGACTGATGCTGAACAGTGTTGTTAAGCGAACGATTCTACAGCTCTAACTGACTGTTCCTACAAAAGCCTACTTCTCTACTGACGGTTCTTACAAAAGCTAAGTTACCTACTAGTTTTTGATTTGACTGTTTTATATATGTATTTGTATTTTAATTTTTATAGTGTGCTGTTTTCAGCTTAAAATGTGTTTTAATGCTGAATCTGTTTTTCATTACTATTATATATATATATATATATATAATTGTTTGATGATTGACTGTTGAGTCTTAAATGCGGCTGTTTTATAGACAATTCTATTTATTTTTTGTTAGGCGGGCTGTCTTAGAGCGTAAATGTGGTTAGTTAAATACCTTTTAAATGGCTTTAAAATACGCTGTTTTATAGCTAAATATGTTGCTGTCTGTTTTGTGTAAAATATGCCCTTTTAGAGTTAGTTCGCTTTTTAAAAATTATTTATTTTATTTTATTTATTAATTATGAGCTAAGAACGCTCTTTTATAGGTAAATTGCATAGAATAACTAGTTAATGCCCTATTTTAATAGACACTTACTTTTTATAAATTGCCTATTTTTATTCTAAGTTTAACATGCATACATATATATATATTTCTATATATATATATATATATATATATATATTCCTTTAAAATCGCGCGTATTTTGCTCAAGGAATTGAGCTGCACTGTTGCTCATGCTAATGCATTCATGCATGCATGTATGTATGTATTTATTTGCATATGTATGTATGCACTGTTGGCACTTGCAGGTACGTGTGCATGTGTGTGTGCGCGAATTTACTGCTGTTGTTTTGTCCGGGCCTCGGACTATATAGATTTGTATGTCGGTGCACATACATACGTACGTGTGTATGCGTATATATCTATCTTTACCTGGGAATTGTATTTATTGTGCTTTTGCATGAAAGGTCTCGAATGTGTTTGACAGTTTAAGTTAAAATTTTAGCAATTCGATTTGGTGTTATTTTTTTTTCTTTTAGAATTAACAACAAATTCTAACAGCACTCTCTCTGCATGTGTGTGTGTGTGTGTTGTTATTACGCAAATTTCTGCATTTGTTGTGCAAATGCACGTACTAAACGTGGATGCACTGACACATGCACTCACACACACACACACACGCACACATAGATAACACGGTTTGTTTTGAACCCATACTCACCAATTTCGTTTAAAAACAATGCATATATATGTAAACACAGTGGCTGTGTATGTGTGTGAACGCGTTCACATTTATAAAATCACTTTTGTGCTTGCGTCGTTTAGTTGTCTCAATATTCAGATTTATCAAGCTGTCGGCTGATAAGTGAAGGACCTTGAATCTTCTGACAATTGTTGTTAACTCAGAAATGTAGATAATAACTCTGTCTGCAGATGGCCGCTGCTATGCACGTACGTCGCAATTTCCTACCTAACGCGTCAACCTTTGTGTTTGGACTACACGCACATAGATACAATACACAATCAAGCAGATGTTTTCTGCGCTACACGGCGATATATCGATAACACTGTTCGATACTGTGGTGTTGGGTATTTTTTAAGCCATTTTCTGTGTGTTCGCAGATACGGGCACACGTAAACTTTGTTTAAGGCGCAATTTTTAAATTTGCCCACATATTTGCTGTTTATGCTATTCTTAAGCGATTTAATGCAATTTTGGTATTGGTTAACTTACCCTACAACGATTTATCTAGTATGCGCCGTATCTCGCCCGCCTCTGAGCTGCAGTCCCAATTGGACGCATTCCTGGCCGACTGCTGCCTGTTTGTCTGGTTTCTTGGCGCCGGCATAACTGTTGCATATGCCTGGCCATTCGCCAGGACATAGCCCTGCGGCATGTGCAGCCTGGGCGCCGGCACTGGATACATGCGCGGGGTCTTCTGTAGCGTCAGCTGATTCGCTTGATTCGCTTGATGCGTCTGCTGCAGCCGCTGATGCTGCGGCGTCCAATAGATTTGGCTTGTCTGCTGTGCGGCACGATCTAGGATTAGAGGCGTGGCACGGCCATGCTGTTGTTGTTGTTGTTGTTGCTGCAACTGTTGTTGTTGCTGCAACTGTTGTTGTTGCTGCAACTGTTGTTGTTGCTGCTGTGCCATTGCCAGCTCCTCGATGCGCACGTAGCCCTGTGGACTCGCCCGTATATACTGCGGCTGCATATACAAGCTGCTATTGTGCTGATAGTCAGTGATCAGCTTGGCCGCCTGCAGTCCATCCTCCGTCTGGATGAGCACGTACTCCGTGGGCGTCAGCGTGACCAGCGATTGGCGCTGCAGCAGCTGCTGATTGGACACGTACTGCTCGGACTCGTTGGACAGGAGGCTGTTGCGCTTGTTCACGTGCGCATAGATGGGCGAGGCGGCGGCGGCGTAGCTGGAGCGCGGCAGACTCTGGACACGCAGCGGCACTTGGGGCCGGGCCAGACTCAGCTGGGAGGCGGGACGCTTCTGCGTCTCCACGGAGGCATACGACACGGGCGAAATGTCCGCCGGATGCTGTTGCTGGCCATTGTGACGCTCATAGATGGGCTGCATTTTGGCCGCCGGCGCCGGCGTGCGATTGATGGACTTGCGACAGAATTCCTTCACCTTCTCCAGGATCTCGTCGCGCGTCAACAGGCCGCCGATGCGTCGCCCGGCATTGGACTCCTTGCGTCGCAGCACCACTGGCGTCTCGTTCTCGTTCTCGCTCTCGTAGCCACGCCGCATGCCCCGCTCCGGCGGACTAATCAGCTCATCCAGCACGCTCTGGCAGCGCGCGGGCAACTGTTGCTGCTGCTGCTGTTGTTGCTGCTGCTTTTGTTGCTGTTGCTGCTGCTGTTGAAGCATTTGGCGATTGCGTCCACTGACGCCAGCATAGGTGTTGCGTTGGACGGAGCCGCGCACAAATGCCGCCGGCGCCGCCAGCTGCTGCGACTGCAGATGCTCATAAATATTCTCCTCGCTCTGGCGTTGGCGTTGGCGCTGCAACTGCTGTTGCTGCTGCTGCAACTGTTGCTGCTGCTGCTGCTGCTGCTGCATGACCTTGCTGTAGAGCTGTCTATCGGTTACCTCCTTGATCGCCCTCAGCTGCTCCCATTCATTCTGATTGCTCGACTGCGTCTCCAGAGCCTTGCGCACCGGCGTCGATGTGGCTATGGGATAGCTGCAACTGTTGCTGCTGGCATTGCCATTGCTATTGCTGTGGCTGTGGCTGTGGCTGTTGCTGCTGCGCTCCTCGTTGGAGGCCACGGATCGGCGCTGGCCCACGCTCTCCAGCCGGCTCAGGGTGCGCTGGCCGTGCAGCTTGATCTGATTGCGGTCCATGGAGGCGGAGCGCGTGAAGCGATTCAAATTGTTCTCCGGCGGCGAGACGCGGCGCGGAATTAGACTCTGACGCTCGACGGTGCTGCGCTGGAACGGCACCGGCTCTAGTCTGGCCTCCAGCGTGGGCTTGGAGCGTGGCTGTGGCTGAGGCTGCCTCAGCTCCTGCCTCAACTGACCATTCGGCTGGTTCTCGAGCAGGATGCGTCGCATCTCTGCCGGCGTCTTCAGTTGCTTCGGCTCCGCAGCGTCGCCGTAGACGCTGCGCGGCGCCGGCAGCACGGCCTTGGGCGTGGTCTTGCGGCGCGTGGCAAAGAGACTATTGGAGAGGCGCTGCAGCACGGACAGCTTTTTGGTATTGCTCTTGCGCAATGCTGCCAAGGATTCGGCCACCTGCTGCCGTCGCTCCTCGGCCGTAGCACGCGTTGGGGTCACCGTCGGCGTCGCTGCCGGCGTCGACTTGGGCGTCGTCGTGGGCGTGGGACTGTTGATCTCCCGCTTGGGCATCAGCGCCAGGCCCTTGCGCTCCAGATACGCATGGAACTCCTCAGAGCTAATGGTGTTGGTGAAGGTGCCCAGAGGGTGTCCATTCCCATTTTCATTCCCATTTCCATTCGTTGTCATCGTGGCTGGAGCGTCCTCGGCACTCGGTGGATTTAGTTCGTCGCTGGACTCGCTCTTGGTCAACGGACCGTCGATCTCGTCCAGATCGTCGTCGGAACTGATTTGTAGCTTCTTCACGCGCTCGTCGAACTTCTTGGCATTCTTGGTCACCTCGGCGGGATTGAAGTACACGCCGTTGGTGTCGGTGCCCGTGCGGATTTTCAGATTGGCCAATTCCGGATAGTTGGGCTTGGAGCACTTCTTGAACGTGGCCGTTTTCGGTTTACCGTTAGCCTCCTGCTGCTTCGCTAGCTTCGTTGCCGGCGTCTTTGCCTCCCTGAGCCGATGCGCCGCCTGCTGCCCGTTCGTCCAGACCTGTTTACGCTTGGGCGGCTTGCCGGATATCTCGCGCAGTTCCTCGAATTTTAGACGCGCCAGCACCGTGGGATCATAGACAAAATATGCATCCGGATTCTTGATATAGGTCTTCACATACTTCGATTGCTTAAGTACCTCCTCGGTGGTGATGAAATCGTCGCCCACGAGTTCAGCCTTCTTGCGATTGTTCGCCTCGTTCTTGAGCTGTTCGCGCTCCTTGTCCTTCAGGGACTTCTCCTCGAGCTCGCGCTCCTTGAGCTTCTCGCGTTCCTTCTCCTTTTCGCGTTCACGTTCACGCAAC